TGACTGAGGAAAGGATAGGGACGCAGGGAAATGAGCCATGGGAAGGAGGTTGCCTTCTGTATACTTGTGAGCTGCTGTCTAGTTCCCTTAAGTTTCTTTTAATTGAAAGATTTTGAACTGAAACATTTGGACTGATGTTTTGCCAACAGTGGGAAATGGTTGTGGACGTGGCTCCTGAAACTTAGAACTATGGTTATTTGTCAACCTGTGAGTAAATAGGGTAGAGGTTTATATTGGGGCACATTCTGTCTGTGTGTTTGTGTGGTTGAGTGTGTCTGTCTAGTTCTTAGTCTGTGCTTCTCACTCTATTTTTCTCTTTGTGCCTCATGCAGGCCCTGCCATGAATTTTTTCTGACCCCTTGGGGCCATTCCCACATGAAGCTTTGATGTGTGTGCCCAGAGCTTGATTGACAAGGAAGTTTCGGTGGCGGCAGCAGGGAAACGAAGAGAAAAGGGCAGGGCTTTGAACTAAAGGGCTTTGAGCTCTGAGATGCTGTGCTTACTTATCTCCTTCAGAATGTTAATTATTTACCAAGATAATTGGTTGGGAGGGGAAAAAAAGAGAGGGGAGGTTATTAAAAAATTCCAACACTAACACGCTACAAAAACCTCATTTTCCAACTTGCAGCTGGCATGAAAAGGATGTTGTGTGTAAAAGGGCTTGAGTGTATGTGTGTTGGGGGGGAGGCCCTTTTTAAGGCACCCATTTCCTAAATAGAGGGATCCCTTCAGACGAATGCAGCGGAAACATCAAAGCTTTTGCAAGAGTTTTCTCTGGGGTTTCTAAACCGTGTCTGGTACTTTTTAATTAAAAAAGTTTATGGAGAGCCGTCTTTGTGACTGGAGCAGGCAACCTTAGGCTCTGTTGATTGAGGAGTGAAATGTTAAAAGACCTAATAAATAATGATTTCTGCTAAAATGTCAGTTCAAGGATGTGAAGATGCCTGGCTACTTTAACAGAAGCTGAGACTTGGAGAAGACTGATGAATGTCTCCTACTTCAATCTAACATGATGTAGGCCATACCGTATGTGAAAGTCTCCTACAGCCTTTGGATTAATGTAAAAAAGTTTGTAATACCATATACTCATTTGAAGTTTGTAGTCTGGAAGATAGGTGAAGCTGTTTCATTTTTGCCTTCAGTTAATACAGTTTTATTAGTCTCTGCATTAGGTAGCAATCCATAGACTCTTCCGTGAAGATCAGGGTTCCTTTGAGTTCTGGTGGTTGCTGTGCTGGATCAGGTCCAAGGACCGTCATTCCAGTATCCTGACTGTGCTGATGATGGCAACAGAGGTTCAAGAAAATTCAAGAGTAGGCAGCCTGCCCTGCACAGTTTCAAAGTATGCACTAATGATATGAAGAGGGGCAGTTGCTTTTATTTATTTATTTATTGGATCAAAGTGGGAAATTCTTTGTTACTGTTTTGCCAGGGTAAACATAGACCATTAATCAACATTTTCTGTACAGATTCTGGCTATGGCAGTACTTAACTTTTTTATGCTATGAAGATTTGGTTTCTTTACCTGTCTCTTGGTATATGGCCTTCCAAAAGTTTGAAATAATTGTTTCAGCTAGTTTTTCTTTATGTAGTATTATACTGACCTGTTAATTCTGATAATAAGCATGATATTTTTCTTTCAGAATCCTTACTGGTACAGCTGGTTATACCACATCATATTAATCTTCTGCATATCACTTAAAAATACAAGCCTGTGCTTGCAGCAGTGTCTGTTTTTAGTGCAAAGCTTAATAATTTTAAATCTCTTACTCTGCAGTCCCTTAAGAACACTTGAATGTTCCATCTAGACGTGGTGACGACGTGCTTTTTAATGTATCACTTGGTTCCAGCACCAGTTTTTCTACTGCTTAATTTCTTTGTGTGTGAGGTCAGGCTATAATCACTATAAGTGGCAGATCATGCTATAATCACTGTAAGTGGCAGAGCAAGCTTCATAGGTGTGTACCCTTCTCACTTACCTGCAGTTGGTTTTGTGATTCCTCAGCTGAACCAGCGGGACTGTGAGTCCAGTTTTACAGCTTCTCTGATGCCCAGCTAAGGACCAAAAGATAATAAAGGGACTGATGCATCTGACATGGGGAGAGACAGAGAGAGCTGGGGTTGTTAAGCCTGGAAAAGAGAAGGCTTTGCGTGAGTCTTGTCGATGTGTACAATAAACATGATGGGAAACAGCAAGGAAAATGGGCCAGACTTTTCTCAGTGGTACCCAATAAAAGGACAAGAAGAAATGGAAACGAATTACGGGAACTTCCATTGAAAGGAAATAAAATAAAAACAAAAAAACAAACAAACAAAAAAAAACAACATAAAACCAAGCCCACTGGAAGTATGGTCTAACACTGGAACAGCTTGCTTAGTTGGTCCTTGTTGATATGCAGAACCCAACTGAACATCAGGGTCTTGAGAAACCTGCTTTAGTTGACCCTGACTAGACAGTCTTCAGGTGTTCTTTCCAACCTCAGCTGTTCAGTGGGAGCAATGATGTTGCAGGATATTTCTGCCCTGTTAGCTGCTCAGTCTTACCCACATTGTAGTTTGTTGCAGATTGAGAATAAAGTTACTCTTCTCCAGATCTCCCATCTCCCTGATGATAAAACCGATCCAAAGAAGTCCTTGAAGTTCTCTAATTGTATTCCTTAATAATTAGTGGCCCAACCAATTATTTTAGTGACTTCCTTTGTCTGAACTTCTTATTGTAAATTTTTGTTTTAGGGACCTCAGAAGCTACCAAATTGAAAGATCTTTGTTATTTTTTTTAAAATTATGGACAAAGGGTAATATTTGCTAGTTTGCTTTAATGCTTGCTTCCCTGCTTGCTTTTTGTAAGTAGGGCTGTACAGCATTTCTGAGACTCCATTTTTTCCATGTAATGTTTATTCAACAGCTAGGGATTCAATAGCTAAGGATTTTACCTCCATTTCCTGGAACTTCCAGGTCTTTGTTCAGCATGCTTAATTTTGTTAACTCTCTCTTTCTGAAATACAATGTTTGCATTAATTGTTCATATATTTTCATTTCTTATGGCATGGAATTTTATTGCATTGTGATCATTGTTTTTTATTGCCTTCAATCTGATCCTATATGTTAATTAGGACTAGGTGAAAATAAATTATTTTCTTTTATGTTTATAATTATTTGTTCAGTAGGTCATCATTTGAGCTAGGGACAAATTACTTCTCAACAGTATAATGCCATTTAATGTGTTAGTATGTTGAACATAATTAATATTTTGTATTGAGTTTTATTCAGTATATATTTGTGCGAAGGTAGTTGAATAAAAGTATTTAGCCATGACATAAGAGACTAAGTATAAAGCAATGAAAGGAGAAGATGGTGAGAATGGGCTTTGTCAACATAAGTTGTCAGAAGCTTCATCATTTTGATTTGCTGCTGTTTAAAATTAGAGGAAAAAACCACAAGTGAACTGCAACAAGCCAGATACTTGTTACATTTGAGTAACTTGTGAGACATCAGTTGCCATCTCATTCTTCCTGTGTGATGGGTTTACATGTTAAAATGGGGGAAACTGAAGTATAAAGTGGTGTAGTAAATTTACAAACAGGTTAAATTAGGAACCAGACCTGCTGAGTAGAACTGTAGATGTTTCCACTTTTCTTTTTTTTTCCCTCTCTCTATTTTTCTGTGCACGCCCCCCCACCCCCCTCCAGCTCCCTCCCCCTGCAGAGAGCATTTCTTCTCTGTGGAGTGGTAGTTAATGGTAGAGTGGCAAAAGCTGACTCTGGCTTTACTGCACTTCTGGGTTGCAGAAGGAAGAGTGTGTTCTCTTAGACTGTGAGCTAATGAGAACTCTATTTAATGTGGGTTTTGTGTATGCATTTGACCAGAAATTGCTTGTTGTTGTGGAGCACTGAAGAGGTAGGTGAAAATATAACAGTCAAGATAATGTGGTGCATACCTTTCTGGGGCCATTCTCAGTAAGACAGGCAGTGTCTCCCACCTTCCACTCATGTGGCCAGCCTGGCACTGTGGTATTATCCTTTTATCATAGCTCTTTCTATATGGAGACAGTACTTATGAGTTTGCAGACTCAATAAATTTACATGCTTTAACTTACTTTCACTTGATTCAGTGCTTCATGACCAGTATGTGGGGGTTTTTTAAGGTGTGCCACAAAGTGTAATTAAAGCACACACTGAATTAATTCTGATTTGACTGGCTGACATCTCAAATAACAGTCAGAGAAGAATTGTTGAAAAACATAGTTCACGTGCCGGAATTAGTTCTGACCACACTCTGTTCATTATTTTTATCTGGTTTGGCGGTAGATATATAAAAATACAAAATAATAATATTTGCAGATGAAATAAAGATCATCAGACTGATAAATGCAGACATGAAAAAGGCAGTCCTGCAGTTATCTGGGTCACATAATGAGCTAAATTGATGAAAAAAAAATGTTTGAATGTGGCAATTATTCTAACAAGTAGGAACTAGGAATTCAGACTGGATTTATAAAAGGATAGCCTGCATCCTGGAAACCTGTTAAGCAGACAAATTCCAACTAGAGACAAGGTATAAATGTAATAGAATAATCTATTCTAGATTTCTGAGGGCATAGCTGGATTTTCCTTCTCTTACTGTCAGCCACTCAGGTCTTTGAAGATTCTTAATCATGCTTATGTTATCTGCTCAGCAGTGGAGAATGTGGGTGAAATATAGTGGCCCAAGATACAGGGACAGAGGAGAACAAGTGACAGGCCATCAGCACAGTGAGCATTTGCTGTACAGGTCTTGTCATCTCTGTGTAGTAGAATAAATCATCGAATTTTCCTTCATGTCTTACTCTGAGTGCCCTGGTCTCTACAGAAATTTAGCCTTTTCTGAATTATAGATGGTTTGGTGACCTCAACTTGAACTCTGTGAATTTGTCTGTAGCTCTCTAAACTGTCTCTAATGTTCACAGTGAACTCTGAAAGCATCTACAATCAGTGATCTCTTCTTTTCTCCTCTTGCTGCAGGCTAAACTCTTTCCAACTGCTGTCATTCATTTTGGATCTGAGGAGTGCAGGGGTGAGTGAATTTCCTCTTCAGCTGACTGTATAGCTCCTATAGTAGACCCAAAAGAATTACATCCTTACATTCTGAGTTCTTCTGACAGGAGATAATGCAGTCCTTGAAAATGCTGGTAGATGTTCCCATTCTGAATGGCTGAAGCTCTTCAGAGCTAGCTTGGTCAGTTAACTTGAGTAGAAATATAAACATAGTACCTTTCTTATGAGATTTGTTAGGCTATGGAGTAGGCATTGTCTACTATGAGGGCAAGAATGATAGAAGAAAGACTCTGTAGAACAGATTTCCTTTGTTCAAAATGTTAACTAGACAAATTATTATAAAACACTTTTAGAGACTTCGCTGTTGTAATGGACTGGCTGGAGATGGGAAAACAGATCTGAATCATTGATTCTTTGACACTGCTCGTTTATGCTTAGAATCTCTGTTTCTCCCAGAGATTAAAGCATGCTTTGGCTTTACATAAAAGTTTCTGAGATGCAGTGACACTGAAAGAAAATGTGAAGATCTTGAGGTTTGAATGATAAAATAATGCATCTTGAGTTATGAAAGAAACTGTCATAGTTTAAAAGAGTCCTGTGTCATCTGGGGGAAGGTGATGGAGTTTTACTATTGTATACTAGTCAAGCCAAGAGCTATGCAACGGTGTGGTGATTGATGTGTCTCTGTTACCAAACAATTGTTTGGGTTTCATTTTTAAACAGATTGTTACCTGAGATCAGACCTGCTGAGCTCTGTGGTTTCCCCTTCTGCAGCTGATTTATTAGTAGCCAGGTATGTTGGGACTGAATAGAGCTGCAAATGGGTGAGTATTTCAGGGATGGGAACCATGAAACGAGCCCATCTTACTACAAAGAAATGTGCTCTGAAGATACTAGGACTTAATTTTCTCCTGAAACAGTCATTGTCATACGTGACTTCATAGCTTTGTGAGTCCTTTGCAAAGTAGAATTTTGGTGACTAAATCAAGGAAATCCTATGGCTTTTATAATGAAAAAGAGCCTTTTGAATCTGACTTTATAATTTTAAAGGTGGTGGTGGTGGTACAAGGAGCTATTATGAAAAAATGAAGCTTAATCTACTTGCTTATTTTCTTCCTCAGATGTTTGTCCAAAACATTAGTTCCTTCTGCTTCATCATCTTTAGAATCAACAGTTCCATCCCTATCTAAACCAGAAGTGGGAAGTGATAAAAAGACTGATGAGCAGCAAGAACCAGCAAGTGTGCGTGAAGCTCCACAGGTGTTGAGAAGGGCCCCTGGGAAAATACCCAAATGGCTGAAGCTGCCAGGTATCATGAAATCAAAGAAGAGCTCTTCTCATTCTGAACTCCACAGAAAGGCAGGCTCCTTTGTGCTAAATGTGTTGGATGTTGACAATATTCTTGAAGATGTCAGCATAAGGCTTGCAGGACATTTAGTTCAATGCTTATTGATCACAAATCAGCTTGTGACTTAAACCTCGGCCTTCACTGGAGAAGTATCTGAATGCAGGCTCTGTTGAGGCTGATGTTGAGTCTGGTGTCTAATCTGTATGCTTGCAGCATTCTTAACTATGTTCTAGGCTTAATGTGTTGAGTTCTTAACTATGCTGGTGTAATTCAGATACTAATAGGCATGATATTCTACATACCAACGGCCCATGTCACCTCCTAAATATCTGTCATTATTTTTCCTTTGCTAGTATAGTCTGTTTCAGTACTTGATATTTTTTTTGAGTTGGTCTTTCTGGTTTTAATCTTCTCTGCAAAACGGTAGTGGTTTTCCATAGTTAAGATTGCAACCAAGTTTCCATTAAGAATGTTGTCTTGGTTTATCCTGATCAGAAAACTTGTTTTTAGTCCCAGAACCAATAGCTTATGTGTGGCTTTATATGAGAATTTATACAAAATATGAAGTAACTAAAAGAAGGGGTCCTGAATTAAACAATGAGCAATATTCGCTTCTTAAAGCAGTGGCAAGGAAAAGAAGAAGGTGAAAAAAAGAAGACAGACATTCAATCAACCCCCTTAATGGCAAGAAAACTAGGAAGAATTATATGGCATTCACTGTCTAATAATGCCAAATGTTAACTTCCTGAGTGAGGATTCTAGTATTTGATTCTGGAAGATAGTGTTGGGCCAGCAGCTCCAGCAAGTATAGCATAAGGTGTGAAATGATTACTGGAAGGCTGTGAACAGTGGGTTGGTGTGTTTCCTTGCTGTGGCTGGTCTGGTTTAGACTGGTACTGGGATTCTGATGCAGATCACGTGGGAAATAGTAGATGCTGTTTCCAGTAAAGATACATGTCCAGTATGCTTGAAGCATTCCACTTAACCTTCTTTCCCAAGTAAAGATTGTCTGGATAAAGTACAAAATAACATCTTGCTTACCTGTGCAGGTTACCCATTAACAGCTGGTATGAAAGGTTTATAACATGATCTAACATGCATGTTAATAACATGTAGGATGAAGTTCCCTGCTCTGAAAGTTATGATGTATTCACCATTCCATCTTCCTACCAAGTGCTCCTGCACGCTACCCAACTGTTGCCTGATTACAGCAGTGTATAGAACCCTCAGCAAACAGATCTGTTACTGAGAAACGATACAGTGCAAATGATGTGGTTAAGTGTTTTAATGCTCTTATGTTTATTTTGTAGGTGGGAAGAGATGAAACGTTTTGGGCTGCTGGATCAGTGAGCGTCGGCTGTGCCTCTTTCCTGATGAATTTACTCAGAATGTATGAGAAATTGTTGGTGGCCCTTGAGAGATCTAATCTCTATTAATGTTAGTTATAAATAGAAAATTGCTATTTCAGATGCCAGTTTCACCTTTTGGAGGAGTGGAAGGCCTGTTTGTGGTCTTCATGACTACAGAAGCAAGGTTAGAGGTTAAATTCAAGATTTCTTGCATGCGAATAATATGAATAGAGAATTAAGGGGGAAATAATTCCAATATACTTTCTGTGAAGGACTTTGTTTCTGTTCATATTTTTAAATTAAAGTATTTCCAGTTCTACCTTCAGAAATAACTTGAGTCTGGCTGCTTGAATTCTAGCAGCAAAATACAATCTAATTCAGTTTTACCCGTAGTTAAGTGCCGCCTAGAACAAGAGTTCTCTCTGTTACTTGTTGGCTGGGGCTAGTGCTGCTGATAATTCTGGGCATAGATATCTGGAAAGTGAGCGAAGAGGAAGCACTTAGGTCACTTAAAACTGTTCAGATATGCTTTTCCTGTGAACCTCTTGGTCTGCTGCACTTGTATTATTTTCAGTTGCCAGAATCTTGTTAACAAAGAACACAGGTATCTGTTAATGGAATGCATGTGGAGTTTGTTTCTGCCCCAAGCTCTGTGTTTTATTTTCACTACATACAGTTAACATCAGTAATTACAGTTACAGTGAGGGGAAAATAAAAAAATCCAGTAAAAGGGTCTCTTCACGTGACCTTTGATCTATGGACATCTATGGTCCGAATGTTACCACAGCAGAGTAGCTGTTGTCTGCAGTATAGTTAGTGTATAGAGGGAAGCACTAGTCCAAATCTTGTCTACCTGCAGGTGTTGTACGAGGATGAATATTGTTGGTTAAAATTGCGCTAATACTGGAGATGAACTCTACAGTGCCACAGTAGCCATGGTGCTATATTTTATTTGAGGTCTTCTCCATGGATCAGTGATTCATATTGGACAGCTGGGGTTCCATGTTATGGTAATAACATGTTTTCCATTTTCCCTGTATAGACAATTACTCCTTGAACTACGTGTGCATCTGCACAATTTGTAGATGAAATAAAGCAGAGTGGCCATAGGAGGCCTTTTTGTCGGTCTCTTTGTTAATACGTTTCTTCCTCCAGTACTGAGTTTTTCTGTCAGTTCACAGGAACCTGCTCCCTTTTCAGTGGGCCTGTCATGCCTCATTCCCTTCCTCCTTTTTTTCTTTTTTTCTTTTTTTTTTTTTTTTTTTCAACAAAGCAAAACGAAGCTTTGTACCATCTGAATGAACTTCAAAGTGGCTAGAAAGGGCACCCAGGGTTCCTGGCACTTGTCATTGTCTCTGAGCCTGGCCAACATTTCCCTTCAGGTCTAATTACTTCCAAATGCTCCCAGATGCTTTGAAGAAACTCAGAGGGGGGGTGGGCATGAAAGAAAGGTGGAAGAGGAAAAAAGAGACTCAAAGTGGAGGGAGTTGAATGCTTTAGCAAACTTGTTGATTGATTTCTTATATGACACCCAAACATAAACAGGGAATGTGTGCGGCCGCTGGCAGTGGGGAATGCAGGAGCACTATGTACAGCTGCTGCTCTAAATCCTTGCTGTGAAAAGCAAGCCCTTCTGGCGCTCGACAGGCTATAAAATACATACTACAGCAAAACAAGAATTATTAAAATAGTGTTTAAAGTTTATTACTTTAGTGGATTAAGTGTGGGCTGAGCCTACACTCCATAGCACCTGAACCAAGATACAGGTAGTCCTATGTCAGGCTTACTCATTTCATAAAAGTCAGAGGTAGGCTGTAGTTGGAGTTGCTTTGCTGAATTTATGCAGGATATATCAGGAGGCAGCTAATAGCCATAGCTCATGATAGGTGATGATAGCTAGTGTTTTTGATTCACAGGGTTAGAATAAACAGAAGCAGACTGGTTGGTAGGAAGTTGTAGTGTGCTTTCAGATGTGATAGTCTTATTTGTTGAAGAGCACAGTCAACATTGAATAGTACTGATTTGCTTTTAGCTATTTTGATTTGACCAGTTTTGACAAGGAGCTAGCACCGTAACGTATCACCTACAAGTACCTGATACGGGAAAACAGAAGGAAAAGTTTAGGGACACAAGCAGCAATATCATTACTACTAGGGCAGTTTCATAGGTTAAGTAAAGGGATGAGGATTAGGAGACTTCATATTGCTAAATATGTGCATTACCTCAGTCAGTTCTGCCCGTTTTTCCCTTGTGTAACTCAGCTATGCATCAAACCCAATTTAATCTACTTCTCTTTCAGGCGAATGAAAAATTGGTACCTTCAACAGCTAGACCAAAGGTCTTATTCCCCTTTCCTTATGCAAAGAAGAGTTAGTTTTAGCTGCTGCTGCTATTAAATTACTGCTTTACTACTAACATTCACATCAGTGATCCTTTTCAGTCAAGAATGCTTGTGTATGGATCAGGTATGTCAGGGAAGTGAACTCGAGCCTTTTTAGGGCAGCAACTTTGAAAGACCTGTGTGTCAGTAGGAGTCAGAATGGGGTGAGAGATGAGGATTTGAAATTTGGAAAAGGCAAGAAAGTAGGAGTGAATTTTTTAAGAGGGACAAAATGCCCTGATATTTAAAACTGCAGGCTCTTCACTAAGCTAGTTGCTACAAGGATTCCTACCCTGTCACAGAACAATACATGCAGATACCCCATGAGCTGGACTTGTTTCAGTATCACTGCTGCTATAGTAGCTGAACTTATCCCTGGGGGTTCTGGGCATTCAAAGGTAGTATTGCATTTTTTTGCTATTGCCTTTTTTTACCATATGGTTGTGGGGCTGAAGGCTGAACTAGGTCAGTTCCTTCATTGGTTTCATTGTACAGCTGCACAAACAGTTGTCTTGGCAAGGAGGCTGCAGTGCAGAGGGATGGGGTGCTGCTTAAGCTGGTACTGTCATCAGAAAGAATGTGTATTAAATTGTGGTTTTAGCTGAACTTTCCAAGTGGCTGGTGTGATGACCCTGATAGCTTTTAGATGAAAGAGTACAGTGACCTAGTGAGCCTCTGCCTGCTACAGCTGTCAGTGGGGAAAAAAAAATTGCTTGCTATTGCTAATCGTAAAGACTACAGATAGCCAACAACCGAGAGTGTGCAATCCTTAAAACACACTGGTGTCAGCTGCTTTTCATGCAGCCTGCTATACATTTCCCAACAAAGCCAGTTCAGTTGTGTGGGTCCTGCCTACATGTGTAAGGTTTCTTATTTCACAGCTTCCCCCCTGGCCCCCCTGCTGGCTGAGGGGCCAGGCTGTCCCATGATGTGGGATTTTCACACATGCTGTTTGTTATTCTGTCCTTTTTCCTTTCGTCCTACAAGGATTTAGGGAAGAGGGTGGGTGAGGGGGAAACTTTGCAAGTCTTTGAAGCAACTTGACTTTTGATGATTAATTGCAGCAAAGAGCCTACACAAGGGAGGGAGACTCGGTTTTAATTTATTGATGTTTCTTCGTGAGAACAAATTTATAGCAGAGGGGAAGCAGCTTCTGAGGAGAATATCAAATGGTTAAAAGGTTCCAAGCATTCTTTGATGTCACAACCCTGAAGAAATACTGGAAGGTAGTGAGGGACAGACACTGTTTATTTATAAAATAAAGATCAGTTACCTGCTTTTTGGCAAGAGCCTGTGACTGAGCTCCTGTTAACAACCTATTCATTAGACAGGCTTGGATCTAGACCTAAAGTTTCTGCCAAAGCTGCCTGCTGAGGTGATGAGAGCCTGAAGTTTGGACATTTCCAGCCATTAAGTCTTTCCATGCATCTCTGTGAAGCAGCACCTGTTTCTCACATTAGCTGGGAAAGCAACTGCATCTTACCATGCTGTGAAGTACAGGCTACTGTTAAAGGAGTGAGGTTGCAAGATGGAAACCAGTTACACACGTAACTGACCAAAAAAAGCATGTGGCAGCCTCTTTTCAAAAACAGCATCTGACAGCACAGTTGCCTAGGGCTTTGTCATGCTTGGTAAAGGAGAGAGGAAGCAGAAGAAAAACGACAGAGAAATAAAAGTTGAGACTGTTCTTCCTAGAGCTAGACTGTGAGGATGCAGCAGATGTTCACTGCCCAGTCAGGATCTTCGGCTGGCCAGCCACATGTGCTTCATGAGGCCTCTAGAAATCTAGAAGCTGTAAGGAGAGAGCAGCAAGCCCATCAGCACATCTGCTGCGTGCCTGAAACATCTCCCAGAAGGAAGAGGACTAAGCTGCTTCTGCCCACATCCTTATCCGTCTACAGTTACGCACCAGCTGTGGCAGCACCTTCTCCAGGTGCTCAATATCCACTTTCTGCAGGTCCTCGGCCTGAGCTTGCCGTGCCGCTCGTGCCGCTGCTTCTGCAGTACAGGCGTAAGGAAGGAGTGAGGGGGGTCTCGGAGCTGGTCCCGGGTGTGCCGAGCCGGGCTCAGGGGCTGGTTCTCCGGCAGAAGATGGGAACGAGGTGGGCCCAGCTCCCCCGAGGGGGGCCCAGCTCCCCCGAGGGGGGCCCAGCTCCCCCGAGGGGGGCCCAGCTCCCCCGAGGGGGGCCTTCACCGGCCCCGCGAGGGGGCAGGGCGGGTGGGGCTGCTGCGTCGGAGGGGGGGGGCCCTCGGGCCGGTCACCGGCTGCTGTGACGGTTCAGGCTCACCCAGGGCCTGGCGCCGGCAGCGGGTGCAGCGCACTCACCTCGGACGAAGACGTTCAGCATCTCCGCCATCAGCAGCTGCGCGTCGCCCTGAACTGCAACGACAAAGCGCTGACGGGAGGCGGGGGCTCGCCCCGCCCGAGCCCGCCCGCCGCCCCGGTACCTCGCGTCCTCCCGTCGCGGAAGTGGAGGCGGAGCAGCCGGTCCGCGGTCTCCTGCACGGAGAGCGGAGCGGATGAGCGAGGCGGGAGCCCAGGCCGGGGCCGAGCCCCCCTCCTCCCCCCCGCTCGGTCCCGCCGCACCTTCCTGAAGCCGCCGCCGCCCCGGTCCGCCATGGCGCCTCGCGCGCGACCGGCCCCGCCCCCCGGAAGCGCGTGCCGCGGGGGGGCGGGGCGGCGGCGCCCCGGCCGTCCCGCTGGCGTCAGCGCCGCGCGCGGCGGCGGTCGGTAGCGCGCGCGGGGCGGAGGCCATGGAGGAGTTCCGGCGGGCCTACGCGCGGCTGTGCCCGGCGCCGCAGGAGGCCGTGCTGCGGCGGCTGCGGGAGCGCGGCGGCGCGCCGGGCCGCGGCCGCCTGGACCTGGCGGCGCTGAGCCTGTCGCCGGAGACGTGCGGCGCGCTGGGCCGGCTGCTGCCCGGCGCCGCGCCCTTCGCCGAGGTGGCGCTGGGCGACTGCGGCCTGAGCGAGGAAGGTGGGCGGCGGCGGCTTCTCTGGGCGGGAGCCGCGCGGCCCGCGCACCGGGCGGCTGCTGGCGGGTGGGGCCGTCCCCCGCCGCCGCCTCACGCCGGTCGGGCGGCGGGGACGCGCCCGTCCCCGGCCCTCCTGTCCCCGGCGCGCCTGGCCTGGGGCGCGCAGGGCCCGCCGGTGCCCGCCGGGCGTTCGGCCGCGGGAGGGGCTGCGCTGCAGCCTGCGACTGAGCGGGGCCTGGCGGCGGTAAAGCTGTCACAGCAGACCCGGAGCGGTCAGCTGGCGGGCAGGACGGTTCGGGAAGATGCAATAAGTGTTTCGAACAGACGAATTTGTCCGGTTTGTGAGTAGACGGAGAGGTGGCAGTGTAGCTTGAAGCTGGTCGTGAAGCCCTTGGGGTTGCCAGAGGTACTTCCCCTACGTTTTGGAGAGTACATCTGCTGTTGTTTGCTGTTGGCAGGAGGATTCGGATTCTAACCTGCTAGTGCATTACATCTAGCAAGCATTGAATGGGGGTTCTGTAGGAGGTAGGAGGAGTCTCTGCTTGGTCCCCACTGTTTGAGCAGGGGGTAAGCCAGCCAGGAGGTCTCGTCTGTGTGGCCTGTATGGACACTGGCTATTTTCATAGCTGCATTAGGAAGGTACATAGGGTGACATGTAGTTCTCTACCCAGAGTACCTATTTCTCTGAAAATACATAAAAAATCTCATGCCCTGAAAGTTCAAATTCATGCTTTTCAGCAGCAGTGGCCATTTATAAAGTCATATGTTTTATCATAGCCACATCTTCTGAGCTGGCTGTTTGAAAGGGTGCCTTCTCTTCCAGCTCAGGTGGACGGTTATACAACTCTTTTCTCTTTTTTTTTTTTTTTTTTTTTTTCCTTTTTTTTTTTTTTTGTTCTACTCAGGTGTAAAACTTCTGTTACATGGTCTTTGCTCCAACACCACAGTCAAATCTTTGGATTTGAAGGTGAGTCTGTTCAAATAAAATTAAAGCGAAGAGGTGGGGAAGGAAATAGGAGCACAAGCTTAATCAGAGTTAGAAATAGGCAGTCCTGGTGCAGGATTGTTCTAGAAGATGTGTAGTTCTTATTCTCCAGTGTCACAGTCCTTCGTCAACACCATGTCACGACTTTCCAGAGTTACTTTGCAGCTCATCTTTACCCATTTTTATTCAGTTACTTTGTTTTGATAGGAAGTTATTGCTGTATATCTTTTGTCAGTTGCTGCTTGGTCAGATGAGGCATATGTAGGCTTTTCTTTGGGTTTCTGTACTAATCAGTGAGTTATTAGTTGTTTTAACTTGCACTTCTGTAGAGTTTGTCCAGCTTGCTCAGTGTGTTTCAGCTAGCCTCGGGCTTGGAACTAAGCACCTACTTTCAGATGTGATGATCACTCTACCGTGAGAATTATTTTCTGTCTGTATTCCTCTTGTATGTAGCTATTCCTTTGAATCTACAGTCCTAAACTGCATCACACCTTTCATTCTCATCTGTGCTGGTGCTAGCTGAGCCCTTTTTAATAAAGTGTGTTGAAATACACTGCTTATCTAGAATCCGCGTTTTCCATCCCACTGTGGGCCATGCTGATCCTGTGCTATCCTGTGATTTTTGTGAGCTCTCAGTCATGTTGCCTCACAAGACTAGCAGTATATGTATCTGCTGTTCCTCCTGGGGACTTATGTTTTCTGGAAGCTGACTGATACATGAGCTAAATGTTATTCAGACCATCTTTGACAGACTGAAATCCGCATTACAGGTAGGGTACACCTGGTGGTGTTTGATGGGATAGCTGGATTGGGACAGAGCGTAGCCTACTGATCACCTGGGACTTTTGTTTCAGGGAAATAACCTGCGAACCCTGGGAGCTGAGGCTTTGGGAAAACTTCTTAGGCAGAACAAATCCATCAGGAGGTAAAAAATTGTATCTACCTCTCTTTCTGTTATCCCTGCCAGATGGAGAACAACATAACAACGTTAGAAAATGGTTGAGGGTGTTTTTTCTTGGGGTAGGAGGAATGTCAGGTGGTGCACTTTCTTATGAGGGATGGGACAGGTGAAGGAGTGAGAACCAGAGGTGCCCTTTTTGGAGGATGCAGGGCTCTAGCAGCATCCTGCTTTCTGAAACTGTGTCTATTGGTGGAGCTAGGTGTTCAAATGGGTACCATGATCCAGGTATCATGCAGGCTCTTGCAACTCTCCATTAACTCCACGAACTCCAATCCTGTTTGATTTACCCTAGCCTAATCTTGGAATGGAACAGCCTTGGTGTGTGGGAGGAGGGCTTCTCCTTTTTCTGCCAAGGACTGGGAGCAAACAACTTTCTCCAGCGGCTAGATCTGCGTAATAACCAGATCAACCATCAAGGGGCCGGGGAACTGGCTGTGGCACTGAAACAAAATGCCAGCCTTCAGGAGCTTGGTAAGACTGACTAGTTTTTTTCCTGTCTGTACATATGCATGCACACACACATATATCTTCAGGTTTGTTGCAGCCTGCCCTGATATCTGCCAACTGGTCAGCGTCATTCCCATTTCCTATCAGTCTGGAGTGCTTTGCAGGTTTTGTGCAGGAACTAGAGCCAGCCCCATGGCCTTTGGAGAGCGGGAATCTCTGGAACCAAAGCTACAGAAGAAGATTGTGTGCTTGGAGCAGAACAGTTCTTAGTGGAGGCGGGAATGGATTCATTCCCATTTGTGGATGCTATTGGCATGCCTCATGCCAGACTCTGACACTTCATGCTTATTTTGTCCTTAGGAATTTTGCCAGAATTTCGTCGAGGAAAATGTGGCTCTTGGTGCTAGTTCTTCCTCATCCACAGATTGTGGTTGTGGAAGGAAGGCTCACGAGATGAAAATACAAGGGGCAGATTTGTGTACCTTTTGGACTGTAATGGCTTCCTGCACTTCACTGCACTTAAGATTGATCCTTGCCTTTCCCGCTTTGTCTGCCATTTTCCCTCCCTCTCATTCATCTTGAAAAGGGAGGCAGTATTCACCTGTGTTTGTGCTGAGACCATCTGGGATTAGTTAACCATGCTTGTAAATGTATAAGGAGCTTGGTTTCTCGAGCCCTGTGTTTTCCAGCAGGTGTGTGACTATGAGGGTAAAAGTTTGCTTTCTGTACAGATTTGCGTTGGAATAATATCGGGCTTCTGGGTGGCCGAGCTTTGCTGAACTGCCTGCACAGCAACAGGACCCTGAAGAGGCTGGAGCTGGCTGGGAACAATGTTCCTAGTGACATCCTGAAAGCTGTGGGTAAGTAGTACTTGTTGCACAGGAAAGAATCGATAACTCCTTTCCTATTGCAGTACTTGAGGGATATAGGGCGCTTGTTGCTCCAGAAGAGAGCTATCCCTCATCCCCTCCATTCCTCAACTGCATTTTCACAGTGCTCTACATGTCTTCTTCTTGTCCTTTAATGAGGGGTGGTCAGGCTGGAGGTGTTACTTTTACCAGGAAGAGGAAAAAAATAATTTGGATTGAATTAGAGATTACTATGCCATGTGAACGTGGGAGAACTTTGGGCTCTAGTAGCCAAGTTTGGATATGGCTAATGCAGCACGTCCTTTGTCATTGTCCTACCCACAGTGGAGTTGAATAGCTCTTCTGTGGCTGGGGTTTTGATTGCCCCATATACACTGCTCTTTTCAATTCTTGCCTTGTGTCTGTAAGGTGAGAACAGTCTCTCTACCTGCGCCAGCCTGTGAAGGGCTACTGCCCTGGTTCTTCTGATAGCCAGGTGTCATCCTGAGTACTATCTCTTCCAGCAGTGCTTGCTATTCTGTTGCTTTAGAAACATGTGTGTGCTTTCCTGCTTTCTCTGCATCAGAACAAGCCATGGATCACAACCAAGACCGACAGACTATCCTGAGTGAGACCCAGAACCGAGCATACATACTCAGCAAGGAGGTTTTGAGTCTGAAGGATGAGAAGACCAAGCAGGTCAGCAATCTTACATGTCAGCAGTTCAAATGGGGCAGCTGGAATCCTATGCTTTCCCTCAGTGTCCCCATGAAACACTCAGTGACAGGATTATTGTGCACCTGAAGTTACATATGCATCTTTATGGGCGGGCACACAGCATGGTTTAGTAAATGGGGTCCTTCCTCTGAGCTGGGTTTCCCAGGAATCAGATCTGTGACAGTAGCGGTATGGACATGTGTCCTGCTGAACATACTCAGTCTGGATTCTGGAAGAGTTTTGGTGATTTTTTTCATCATATTTGTGCTTTCAGTTCTTCTGCAACAGGCTTGATATTTTCCAAGTGGTGAAAACCTAGAAATACGAGTCTGTTTTCTTTCTGATGCCTAATGGTGCAGAGTCCCTATAGTGGATGACCTCAGTCAGATGTCCTAATGAACCCATCAAACCTCCACTTTCCTTGCTTTCAGTAGAGTGGCTTGACCTGTCTTCAGTTGTCACTAGGAAGAGAAAGATGAGAAATGTAAATGCTTCAAGCTGATGCAGTTCATTTTCTCACTGATGTTTGCCTTGTTCACAGTTCTTGGACTTGATGGACACTATAGACAAGCAGAGAGAAGAAATAGCCAGGAGTGGCAGGTGAGTTGAATTTCTGAGTGCTTTCTGCTCTTTGATAGCAGAAATGGTCTCTTTCTGTTTCCTGACAGAAATTACCCACTCTTTTCTCCATTGTTTTTTTCCTTCCCAAATGCAGGATGTCTGCAGCACGAGTCAGACAGCTACAAGAAGCATTGGATGAGCAGCACTCTATTATGAATTCACTGAAAGCCAAGTATGGAGGAGGAAAACCTTAGCTTTTCCACTGTTCTGTGCTGTATAGGCAGTGCTGAGGAGAGCTGTTAAGAAGGGGTATAATCGTGTAGAGTGGCTGGCTTACTATTTTACTTAGTTCTACAGTAATATCCAGAAATTACGGTCAGACCAGGCCTTTGCTATATGCTTATAACAGTGGTTAGACTTCAAACACTAATGAGCCTGGCTCGTTCAATTCTGTCAGGTAAAGGTAGTTTCATTATCCCATGCCTCAGTGTGGACATGTCCTTCATGCACAGAGTAAGCAGATTGCTTCTGCTACCTGTGTTTAAGATACTATCGCTAATTTTAAACAACCTGGTATAAAATAGCCAGCTTTGTTCTCCTGTGAGAGTGGGAAAATCCTGGAGGTGTCCAGGCAGGGACACCAGCTCATGGAAGACAGCACAGGGAAAACACAGTGGGGTACCAGAACACCAGGCTCTGAGAAGGCCCAAGTCACTCACTGTTTGCAGAGGCTGATGGGTGCAGAGATAAGTGGTGTCCTTTTCCCAGGCGCAAAAAATGCCTCATTTAGCCAGCCCGATTTTCATCCACTGCCAAATATATGTTAACATCTTGCACCATGTGGCATAGAGAGCTCACTGGAAGCGTCTCCCTTAGAAAGGACTCTGGAAAGTGTTTCTCTGTGTAGGCTGCAGATGACTGAAGCTGCCCTGGCTCTGTCTGAGCAGAAGGTGAACAATTTGGGAGAGCTACTGAACGCCACAAAACAGGAACAAGCCAGCATGGCTGAGTGCCACTTTACAGAGCTCCAGCAGCAAAAGCAGGTGAACTGGACAAGTCTTAGGTTTGAGAGCAGCGTTCCAGGTCATACCTGGTTTGTGTAGATTTGGGGGATGCTGGATGGGATAGGCAAGCGTGTTTTTTAGTGGGTTAACCACAGCTGCCATGACAAAAATTCTTGTGTAAATGAGATGGGTGAGTGCTAGGTGTGGAGAGGAGCCATGGTGTTTATGGATTTAATTGGGTCTGGCATTGGTTGGAGTAGGTTGGCAGTGCAATATCTAAGGTGAGTACAGGTTCTTAAGTTTGATTCCATTTGCAGGAAGGTGCTGATCGGGAAGGCAAGCTTTTGCGTGACTTGTCTGCGGCCAGTGAGAAAAATCTGCTTCTAAGAAACCAGGTAGAAAAGCAAGTCCAAGGCTGAGAAGCAGGACTTGGACACTGTTCACTTCTGCTCTCTATACATGTCCTCTACTTTGATTCTTGTTTGTGTCTCTGCTGATTGTTCTGTACAGCCAACTTTCTCTACTAATAAGAAAAGAAAATCCTTTGTGGTGGTAATGTCCTTGTAGGTGGATGAGTTGGAGAAGAAGTGCAAAGTTCAGCAGGATCAGCTGTTCCAGGTGAAACAAGACTTGACCAACACAACAGCAGAGCTGAAGCTGCGGGCCGTGCAGACTGAGGGTAAGTGGAGGAGCAGAAACAGCTCATGGACATGTATGGGTTGGGATTACTGTCTGCGAGTCAACAGTGCAAGGCAGCCAAGTGGAAGAGTTTGTGATAGAGTATAAATATAGCCTGTGTAGCAGGAATGCCAGAATTTTGATATACCTGCTTTTAATCTGCAGAACGTCTGGAAATGGAGAAGAGAAGATTTAAACAAAGCCTTGAAGACATGGAATCCCTTCGGGTAAAAGAGGTGAGAATGGGGGGCTCCTACAGCATCCTGAGGTTAGTCTCTCTTTGGTCCTGACATTCAGATGTCACTGAAAGGCATTGTTTTCTGTCAGCTGATCTTAAACAAGTTTAAAAATTAGGGGACTCAGACTTACTGTGGGAATAATAGGCCATTTCTACAAGCAAAGCCTAGCTGAAGAGATCACAAGACATTCTACCAGCTAGTAAGATTTTGTAGCTGGCAAGAGTATGGGCCAGAGTGGTACATGATTCTACAAAAGAGGCTGGCCCTTGTGTCAGTCTTGCTACGCATAGAGGTAATTATGCATAAGCAGTCTTGTCATGCTCACTGAAATAAAGATGCATTAATGGAAGAAATCAAGACATACATGCTATGTACAACCAATGCTTTAACAGGGCTCAGCTTGCTAGTTCCTTCTCTGTTATGTTTCAGGGGGATTCTGTCTGAGTGTGGACAGGACAAGAGGCTGTGATCAACTCTCTTTGGAGTGTTTATTGAGGTGTGAAATCTCTCAAAAATAAAACTATACCAATAGATTTCTATGAAGATTTTGAAATCTTGTAAAAAAAGACAGAGGCCAGGAAGATTTGAGCCACACTGCAACCAGAAAATGAATCTCTGGTGTTATCGCTTGAAGATGAAAGCTCAGACTCTGTATCTTTCATCTTGGCCTGGAAGGGATCTCTGTCTAAAGCTCCTATTTTCTAGAGGGCAGATACTATCTATATTACAGTTTCCTAGTGGAGCTCGGAGGAAGATAAGAGTTTTTCTTTGGTGGTAGGTGAGTCAGTGAGAGGATGCTCTTTCTCATGCCGAATGGCCACGCTGCTATGCCTGGAGATAGGAGTGTTTTTCTGGTGCTTGCTTAAATGGTTTCTACTGCTTTGCAGGTGGATCATATGACACAGCACATTGAGACCAGTGAACGTTCCATGCAGGACAGGATCCAGAGACTGGAAGCCATGAGGATAGCTCTGGAGGAGGTGAGAATGGATGCTCCAGGTGCCTTGGGATGCTTGGGTAGTGGTGGCAGGAGAAAGCTGCCAAGGTAGCTTTGTGGAGTCTTCCACTGCTGACCTATGTAAAGATTGTCATATGCTGTAGGGAGGAACAGAAAACAGCAGTTTACCAGCTAAAATTATTTTTACTGCTTTGGATTAAGGAAGGAGAAGGTTCCATGGAGAAACTTGTAGATTCTGATTGAGCAAAAGTAAAGATTCCACTAAACATGGTTAGATTCTTACCTGGATTTGACTTCACACATTTCCCATGTGGTCCCAAGTAGTGTAGCATATCTCTCCTTATCTGTTCCCCCAGCTAGATCTAGCGCTGCCCTCTCCTATTCCCCTGTCTTTGAAAAGCTTCACCCATTACTTGCCCTCATATAACTGAAATTCTCATTGAATTTAGATGGCAATCTTGGGGTGAGAAGAGGTGTGTAATCTGGGTTTGTTTTCCCTGCCCCTGAGTGAGAGAGACAGCTGTGTCATATTGTAGCCTGCAACTGGAAGCTGGTGATGTTTTCTGGTCAGTGTTGCAGTGATGCGGCTCCTGTCTGGAATGATCTTTCATGTTTCTGTGGCAGGAGCTGAGCCAAGTCAAAGCAGCAGCACTTGCTGAACGAGGCCAGGCAGAGGAGGAGTTAATAAAAGTCCGGAATCAAGCACGGTTGGAGGAGGTAAGGACGAGACCTGTCTGGGGTCCTTGCCTCTGTGGGAAGCAGTGGATTTGGCTGTCTAGCCTATTTTTTTGTCTCGGGGAACTGCTGAGTAACTTGCCTCTCTGGGTTTCACCGCTTGCAGATAATGTGATTTCTGAGGAAGGAGTTCTGAAAAGTCTGCTCTGAATTGCCTCCAGAATGTAACCACTATCCCCACCTGCTCTGTGCTTTCCAGAGCATGTTGTCACAGCAGATTTCATTTAAGTTGCCAGCTTCTGAAGCTAACAGCCAGATGTTGATCCTTCTGTTTAACAGCAGCTTTCATGGGCTGCTCCTGGTTCTCTGGACTCAGAGGAATTTCCGCATGTGGCTATTGCTGCCGGATAAAAAAAGTCACTGTGGAATTGAACTTTGTGAAAATGGCAGTGAAGTCAATACCCTGTGAAAGAGAACAAGGGATGAGGGAAATACACCAAAACTATTAGAATGTTTACTTATATGTAACATCACAAAAGAAAATGCTCTATTGAGTTACAAACATAAAAAGGCTGCCACCTGTGTCTGTGGTGGGACACAGTGGTTGCTTAGCTGCATACACAAGTGTTTCAGAGCCATTTAGGATATGGAGGAAGTGAAGATAGAGCATGAGTTGTAAACACTGGCAGTGGCATTGGTGCTTGTACTAGGGATATGTCTCTGTTCCTCAGCGAGTGAGCTGGGTGTTGCAGCATCTCCATCAGAATGTTTTCCCTGGCAACAGAAAGCAGCGTAGATTCACTCCTGAATGCAAGGGAGAAGTGCTATATCTATTATGGCCAAGTCCTGTGCTTGATCTTCAGTGCCAGTTGACTCAGCCCAAGTGTTCACTGTTTTGGGAACACAAAGGGGAGGATTCCTGCACAGGAATGGAATGGGTCTGATGTATTTTTATTTGTGTCTTACAGCAGCAACGACTCGAACACCTAGAAGAGAAGCTGAGGCTGATGACTGAGTCACGTGATGAAGCTCAGAACTGCTGCCTTAAGCAAAAACAAATGGTTGCTGAGGCTCAAGCCAAAGCCAGTCAGTTGAGCCTGCATGCTGATGGACTCAGAAGGCGGATAGAGGAACTTCAGCAGGTAACTTGGACTGGAGTAGAGATATGGTCATCACAGGGGCAGAACAAGTTACCAAAGTTGTTTGGTTATTCATGGATTTGTCTTTGTGTATCAGAATCTGAACAGTAAGGAAGAGGAGAAAGTGATAGAGGTGAATAAAGTGAAAGTGGAATTACAGGAGCAGATTGGACACCTGCAGGCTGAACGCACAGCACAGGATGGGATGAGAGAGAAGATCGCAGCCCTGGAGAGACAGCTGAAAGGTGATGGATCCTTTCATGCTTCTCAAATGGTAATGCTGAGTTACCCCACAGTGGGCCTGGAACTGAACTACGCTTACAGGTAGTGACCATGGTGCTTCCTGACTCTGCGTATAACCATGAGTTGTACCGTCCATCGTGATGTGTTTGCGAGGATTCTTGTCCTCAGTTTAGACAGGCCAAGACTCAGACAACTACCCAAAGCTGCACAGCAAGCAAAATGTTTGGATTTCCTGCACGGTGAAGTGTAACATCTCATCTGTGCAAAGCCTCTCACATTGTCTCATGCAGCTTCTCTTGTGTGCCTTTTGATCGTTCTGCTTCCATTGCCTTTGACTGTGCCTATAATGTGTTGTTCCTGTTTATTCTAGGAACACCCTAATTTTCGTTACTAGCATTGCTTTTCTTTCACAGCCCTATCAAGTAGCCACCGCGAGGCACTGCTGGACAAAGAAGGTGAAATCTCGATGCTGCTGGAGAAGCTGAGAATGAAAGAGGCTGACATCTCCAGGATGAGGGAAGAAGAGGCCCAGCGAGCAAGTTTCTTGCAGAATGCCATCATGGCATATGTGCAGGGCTCCCCCTTGGGAACCCACAGTTCTAGGAAATGAGAATGTGGCTTAAAGAATCCAGATACCTGCTGTCAGGAAAAGGGTGAGCAACTTAGGTACAGCCCCTTCTTTCTAAGTGGGACAGTTTTGTCAGAGTGGGATGATGTGAAGGGTTGCAAACACAGAAAATTGCTTTTGCTCTTCAGAAATCTTGTTCACAACCACATAAAGGAGAGGAGGAAACAACCATCCAGGGGTGGGATAGAGGCTCGTGAGTCTGAGTTGATGATGTGGACCCTTTCCCCTGCACTGCTCTACAGTATCTGACGTAGTTTCTTTGTCCTTTCATACAGCACCAGTCTGTTGGCACACCCTATTGTTACCACGGGGTTGTATGTTCCCTGAGCAGCAGTCCTTCTGAAGCATTTGTTTGGATGGCAGGGCTGTTCACAGTGAGACCTGATAAATGATGGGCAGCAGTGTTTACAGTTCCCTGTAGGTGGGAGCCAATACTTTGCTCATGTGAGGTCTGGAAGCTGCTGAAAAAACCAGATCTTTCCTACCTGTGCTTTTATACTTGCTGCTTACAGATGAAAGCAGCAACTGAGAGGGCTCACTTCGGCTCTTTTACGCTGCCCCTCCATGGCTCTGGCTGTAGTGATGAGCAGAAGATAAGCATTCATTATATATAGAAACATAAGCAGAGGGGAATTGCTGCGCAGTGGCTGTCCATACCCTTGTTGGACAGCTAGGCTTTGGCCATGGTTCAAGACTTTCCAACATCAACTGGCATGGAAAGGGTGGGGTAGGGTGTCGGGGGTCAGCATCTGTGCTTCCTTACTGTGAACTGCAGCCCTTGGCTGGAGTTTTTGTGGCCAAAATGCAAGAGGATTTCATTCCGCTGTGACAAATGGCAAAGCTGTCCTACTGGTTCCTTGGGATCCTGGAGCTGCATGCTACTGTTTTCTGGGCCTCACCCTGGAGAGGAGCGATGCTTCTGACTTGCCACTGGGGAGTTACTTCTCAAAGCACAAAGGGGAGGAGGTGCTTCCTTTTCCTGGCAACACAGGTCCTCCTGTGCCATGGAGAAAGGGAAGGGATGTGAGGGTCTGAGTCAGAGAAAGTGGAGACTTTTGTCGGGGCAGCAATACAAGAGCTTCCTCTTAGTTTCTTATTTGAGTCTGTGGTGGGAGAAATGGACCTGCGGTACATATTTTAAGAGGCAACTGGAAAAACAAACTCTATGTGCGGACTGATTGGTTTGTGTTTGTGATTTTTCATATTTGGTTTTGCTCTGCATTTTTAATAAAGAACTTTTGCATTTTGCTGTAACGCTCGGCAGTGACAAGCCGGATGTTTGACTGATGTGGAGGGAGGGGCCTGCTGCTGTGTTACTCTCATGGAGGTCCTGCCGGTCTTTTCTGGAAAGGCTGTTACAGGTGGATAAGCTAAGTATGTCTACAGATTTTGCTTCTGAACTAAGGTGAAAGCAAGGAAGTCACGAGGAGAGAGTCTGTGTTGATAGCTAGATTGTCTGTGGATGCTGGGCAGCGCTGTAGACCAGCAGGTAAGGGAAAAGCAGAGCTTGTTTTGAGGCAGTACCACTCTGTTGGTGGTGGAGTACGTGGAGAGGTGGAGGAATCCCAAGGCCATCTTTACGCAGGATCTTTGCTGCTGCATCGTCTTCCTCAGCACCTCGGGGCAGATGCTGGTGAAATCTGCGGCTGCACCGCAAAACCCGGTTTTAACGCTTCATCCGTGAGCGCAGGTGAGAGCCGTCCCCCGCGAGCTGCGGAGCGACACCCGCGGTGCCGTTTCGAGGGGCAGCGCGCAAGGGGCTGCCGGGGCGGGGCCGGGGGCCGCGGGCTGCCCGGGGAAGGAGGCGGCGCGGGGCCGCGGCCCGCGGCGGGGCGGGGCGGGGCCGGGCCGGGCGGCACGTGTGCGCCGCCCTTCTCAGCCGGAGCCCCGTGCCGAGCGCTCCGCCGCCCCGGGCTGGGCCTCGCCGCCCGCGGGGGGGGGTTCGCGCGAGCAGCGGCGGGCCCGGCCCGCGGCCGGCGGGAGAGCCGCGCCCCGCCCCCGCCGCAGGGCTCGGCCCGGCTCGGCCGCGCTCGGCCGCGCTCGGCTCGGCCCCGCCCCGCCCCGCCCGCGCGGGCTGTCACTGCGGCGGAGCCGCCATCGCGGGCAGATGCAGGCGATCAAGTGTGTGGTGGTGGGCGACGGGTGAGTGCGCGGCGGCCGCGGGCAGCGGCGGGGCCGCTCCGGGCGCGCCCCGGCCCTCGGCGGCCCCGCACAAAGCGGGCCCGGGCGCGGGCCCGGCGGCGCCGCGGGCAGGGGGGAAGGGAGGGAGGGCCCGGCGCGGCCCCGCCCCGCGGCCCGGGAGAGCCGGCTCGGCCGGCGGGAGGCCCGGAGCAGCGCGCCGCGGGGCCCGGGCGCTCGGCGGGCCGGCCGGCCGTGGCCCTTCACCCGCGGGGCCGGAGGGAGACGCGCCGGGCGGCGGCTGCGGCCGCCGGGTGAGGGGCCGGAGCGGGGGGCCGGGGCCGGGGCCGAGCGGTCGCCGCCGTCTCCCGGCGGGAGGTCGGGGCCTGGCTGCAGCGGCGGCCGTTACGGCCCTGCCCAGCGCGTCCCGCGCCCTCCTTAGTTCATAAACTTGGGTCTCTTCTTAACGCGGTTCGGTTTCACGTCTAGAGCTGTACTGCCTGGAAAACAAACACCTCGTTTTCAGGGGTTTTAAATCTGTCTCTTCGTTATTTTATCGGGTGCCTCTGTTCTGCTCTTTTTCATCGTATAAGCCCAATTCATCACAAAGTTCTCCTAAAAATCTTGATGTTCACAGGTTTTTCTCATATCTCCTTTTGTTTGTGTTTCAAGGTGAAATACGTTGCTGTTTTTGGTTTCACCATGCGTCTCTTGTCATACTTCTTGTTCTTCTCTTTAGGCTTTTACTATGTGCCTTTTTCTGAGGACACATCTGTATGCAAGATGCAGGCGTGCAGTAGATTTATGATGCTTCATAACTTTTGCTAGCTTGTCCTGCATATTTTTCCTCCTAATTCCTGTTTGCTTTTCTGATCACCACAGCAAGCACCGAGCTGAGATACGGAGAACTGGTGAACTAGACTTAGGCAGGGACTGGTCTTTCCACCTTCCTATGCATACCACCCCCTCCAATACACGTTTGGAGGGAGGCCTTCCAGGTTCTAATCTGTGGGGTCTAAAGAGGGGAGCAAAAGAAGGAGCCACCCACCAACACGGCACAGCCATATTGTGGAGGGGAGAACAGCAGCCAGGAGCACAGCATGTTGGAAATGGACTTCAGCTGAATGTGTGAAATCCGGTGTATTGCTTTAAGTCTAAATTGACAGTGCAGAGACTAAACGAACACATACCAAAACACTTTAACCATAGATAGGTGTGAATTTTGTATATTGTGTGACTTTCCTGTTCTCTGGGAGAGAGGTTGTGGTTCAGGAGCAGAGTCAGACTGGTCAGTGTAGTGGTTCTTTACACAACTTGCCTGTTCTCCAAGAGAGGGGACATGATCCAGGGGAAAAGCTGGGTGGGTTACTGTAGTGGTTCTTGCTGTGCTTTGTGTCGTGCTGGTGCAGGACTGTGGGGTCCCCTGGGGTCTTTTGCTTACTCCTGAATTCTTTCCGGATGTCACTTCCATTACAGAATTGGGTAGAGGATACCCGTCTCTGTTGGCTATTCAGCTTCGCTCAGGCACCTAACAGACAGCTTTCCCTGTCACTGGCACTCACGATCTGTTTCTCTGGAAGGTTGCCTGCAGTTTACAACTTTTACAGTGATAGATAGGTGGTTTATGCTCCTGGTACTCCCCTGTTCTTATAACTAAGCTTTTCCCTTATGCTGTAGGGCTAACTAAAGTTCATACACTTAAGCTATTGCCAACCAGGCCCAACCCCTGCCGGCTGCCACCACTGGGTTGACCAATCCCACCTGCTTTCAGCAAAGCTCTGAGCTGCTATGTCCAGTGAGCTACACTGATCTCTTTCCAAACTGGCAGTGGTCAAGTTTAAAGTTAATTTTTGTTCATGGATACTTATTTTTTCCCCTTTGTATTTATTGACATCAAATTCATATATCTGAGGAGCTTGAATAATTCTGAGTCGTTAGATGTTTTTTTACCTCACTGTTTACCCATTTTGCTAGATCATTATGGATGTGTTGAGCCCAGCACAGAACCCTAATTTATTCCCTCTCTTGATTTCTGGAACAAATGTATTTTGCCTGGTGTTTTGATGAGGCTGAGTGGATGGGGAAGAGGAGTGGGAGAGAGCAGGGTCAGGTAAGTGCTCAGGCAAGGTGCACGTTGTGAGTTCAGGCCTGTTCCCTGACAGCTAGAGAATTCTAACCTGCTACAGGTTTGTTTTCTCACATGGTAACTTTTTACTTAACCTCTTTTTTTGGGTGGGGGAATGGTGAATTTTACTGCCTCAGTGCTTCCTGCAGTACCCTTCTTTATGCTTGTCACTCTTATCCTCTGCAGAGCTGTAGGGAAGACCTGCTTGCTGATCAGTTACACCACAAATGCCTTTCCTGGAGAATACATCCCCACTGTGTGAGTAATGGCCTTGGGCTTCAGTTGCTTTTTGCTCTGCATGCACATGTGTGTAAAAGTTGGTTTTGTAGGTGAGGAGAAGACTGTCTCAAATCAGACTATGTACTTCACACACAAGAACGATGAAGTGGTGTGGCTGTGTATATGAGGAGGGCAGACTTTCCGTACTGGAATGGAGTTGCAGTGTCCTCTCCTTATTTGCTGTCCCCTTGGATTTCATACAGAGAGATGTGTGGGTCACAAGAAGATTGTCACTTATGGGGACTCTTCCTTGGCAGGTTTGATAACTATTCTGCCAATGTCATGGTAGATGGAAAGCCAGTGAACCTAGGCCTCTGGGATACAGCAGGGCAAGAGGATTATGACCGACTGCGGCCTCTTTCCTATCCACAGACGGTGAGTGCTGGGCTTGGACTGGCTTGTAACTGCTCTGTCTTGGATGCAGGGAGGCTCCCAAGGACAGCCAGGCTTCTTTCCTTTGAGGAAAGTCTAAGTTGCTGCAGCCATAATTATGATTGTTTAAGAAGTATCACAGCTAAATTTTTCCTAAGCGGTTGTCCTGTTCTAGTCCCTGCTTCGTAATGGTGTTTGAACAGTTGCACATGCCATAGGGAGGCTCAAGTGAAATAAATGGTGTGGGGCTGCTGTGCAGCTGAGCCATGTTCCATATTCCCATTCTTGGCAGCACAGCTCACTGTTGGGCTGCACTAGTAATGTTTCCCTGGCTGTAGCAATTCCTACATGGCCCCCGTACCAGGGGTGAAGCCCATAGCACTGTTAAGGTATTTGTGGCCACAGGCTCTTAATGTGCAGAGCCCATTATTGTAAAATAAGATGAAGTCATACACTCAAAGTCCATTCCTTCCCTCTCTGAATTAGTTTAGCACCCTTCCTGAGGAAGAAATTCTTACAGCCACAGTCCTTGCTTGTGGGAGGTGGTTGTCCTCTGTAAGGTTCCCTCTCCACCCTCCTTGCGTTATCTCTAACTGTTTCTTTCTACACGGCTGACCCTCTTGTTTTCGCACAGGATGTTTTCTTGATCTGCTTCTCCCTTGTGAGTCCAGCCTCCTTTGAAAATGTCAGAGCCAAGGTAAAGTATTCTTCTTGGTGAAACAGTGGAAGGGAGGAACCAGTGAAGTCCCCTGCCCCACCCAGCACCACACCTACAAGCCCAAAATTTCTAGCAGTCATGTTTTGAGAAGGGAAGGTCATAGTCTGTAGGTTTTAAGAGGGGCCTACTTATTATTCATGACTTCTTTGGCTAAGTTTTTGCCTTTTTGAATCTTCATCTTAAAGAAGGTGAGGGATATCCTAGAAGCCAAAATGCAGTTAAGGGGAGCACCACTGTGCAGAGTTGGCTGGCACTGTCTGTCATGATTCCATGTCTCAGTGCCTTCATTATTACATCTGCACCAATCTCTTTCTGCAGAGCATATGCAGAACTGTAGACAAAAGTACCATGTTCGGGTGTTGCCACCATGTCAGACAGTAGTAAAAACCTTGTTCCTAATAGTAAATACATCCTCATGGTTGCATCTACTGCTATAGCTACTTTTCTTACCATGCCTCTCTGTTTCAGTGGTACCCTGAGGTCCGACACCATTGCCCAAATACACCTATCATCCTGGTGGGCACCAAGCTGGACTTGAGGGATGATAAGGACACCATTGAAAGGTTACGTGATAAAAAACTGGCCCCCATCACCTACCCCCAAGGTTTGGCCATGGCTCGGGAGATTGGTGAGTCTCATGTGCTAACAGATCTACATGGCATTGAGCTTTTTCTTTTGGAGTGGGAGAGGGACAGTCTGTCCTGGTAGGACTGGAGTGGTTGAGCTGGAGCTCTCTTTCCCCTAGGGTCGGTAAAGTACCTCGAGTGCTCTGCCCTGACGCAGCGGGGCTTGAAGACGGTGTTTGATGAAGCCATCCGGGCTGTGCTCTGCCCACCGCCTGTGAAGAAGCCTGGCAAAAAGTGTACAGTGTTTTGAGGGCTGTGGCCTCAGTGCTGGCTCAGCATGTTGTTGTCCTCTGACAGATTGCATATTAGCTGGGTGTTTCTGGAGGGGGCTGGGATGTGTAGGGCCCTTCATCATGTATGAAGTCAGTGTTTTTTAAATGTCTCTTTGATTTAACGTCAGTGTTGATGTGAAGGGGCAGCGGGGGCGGAAGACTAGCCGGGGGCTGTACAGCCCCCAGGGGAGGTACAATGGGGAAGGCAAGGTAGCTCCTTGGGGCAACAGGCTGTTTTGGCTCTCCTGAACTCCAAGCTTCAAAGGGCTGAGACATTCATCCTGTCCTGGAAACACCCAGTTTCAGCATGCAGGTGAAACAGGTGGTGAAGATCCTTGTGGGAGTGGGGAGGGAGCCGATATGAATGGTGCTGAATGGCAAGAGCGGCTGGGAGAGGGGTAGGGTCTCCTTGCCCAGCCTACTGTGGCTAACAAATTGGTGCTCTAGCAGATACGTGCCTGAGACTGTTAAAGAAATCATAACCAGCCCCAGAAGGGGTTGAAGTAAACGCAATATGAAGCTGAAAAACTAATCATTAGGTGCTTTATTGGGTACTAGCCAAACTCAGTGAGTGAAACAGCTCTGTGCAATCGATGTATTTGCCTTTTCATGTGTGCACACCATAGGACAGCATGGTGCTGCTCCCCCCATCAGTCTTTAGCAGGCCCCCCCCCCCCCATCCAGCCTCTGCAGAGCAGGGCTGTGGTTGTTGCCTCTGTTTTGTTTTTTTCTACTAAAGACAGCAAAGGAAGCAATGAGGAATCTGCTAACTTCTTCTTTCCCTTCCCACTGAAAGTGCAGGCGAGCTCTATGGATTTGGATGGAACAGGGAGAGCTTCTGAAGGGTTGTTGGGGGGGAATAGGCTTGGAAGAAAGACAGGTCCAATTTCTAATCATCATGTAGAGTGACAAGATAAAACCTTATTTGGTGCAATAAACATTCTCCATGACGGCGTATGTGAGCTTTATTATATAGCAGCCTTCTAAAGGTAATTTTCTGCCTTACTTCTCATACAGGCTCCAGCCCTGCTGCCCCTCTTCTCCAGCAAGACTGGGTCTGTCATTGTTTTCTATCCAGTTTACGTCTATGCAGTACTACTATGAAAATTAAGGCCAGGTGTGAAATGCAGGTGTCATCTTAGGAGACAAGAAATCCCCCATCAACCATCAGTGAGCTGCCAGTTGTCATAGCACTCTTATCGCTCAGCAGGAAGAGAATGCTGTTCACCACATCATCCACCTCTGGAATCAAACACAGAGAACATCTGATGCACTTTTCTCAAATTGTACTAGAAAAACAAGCATCCCAAAGGTATGCCTTTGACCTCTACATGTAATTGGAGCAGGGAAATACCTCCACCCCCAAACTGGGCTTGATACAGTTTACAGGACAGTGTGGCTGAGAGCTGGAGATCAAAAAGACCTTGTTGTGATCACATGATACTTAGCGCACACCAAGCACCTATGCTCCCCTCCCAGTCATCTTTATGAACAATAGAGTAAGTGCCTTTCACTTGTGCTAAGAGAAGGAGGCTGTAGAAGAGGGGAGATAAGGGATTCTTGCCCTGTCCTCGTGAAATGCTTCAGGAATTCCAGCACAGCCATTCAGCAGAGTTGTGACTTTGCCCACAAAAGAAGCAAGGTACCTATAGCTGTGATGTCAAATAGAGGGAAGGCTTGGGTACAACAAAAGAGCCCATCCCGGCAACAGATCAACACTGACCTGCAAACTTTCCCAGCGGAATCCGATTAATCATGGCAGCAGATTTCTGAGGGTCACTCCAGTTAATTCTCCCCATATCAGTCATAACTACTGTGGGGTTCACAGTGTTCACCCTAATCTGGGACCAAGAGCAACAAACAATCTAACTAGACTGCTCCGAGAGGAAATACTCAGGTTCAGCTTTCATACTTTTATTTCTCTCAGAAAGAATCTTACCTTGTGGGGTCCCAGTTCCAATGCCATTACCTTGCTCAGCATATCCAAAGCACTTTTTGTGGAACCTTCAAGAGAAGGGAAGAACAGGAAGCATTTCAGTGCATAGTATGTGGTCTGGAACAGAGGGAAGTATTTCGCTGCCCAGAATTGGCAGCCGGAAGTTTGGTGGCTGTGGGCCTCCAGCTAGTCAAAAGTGAGAGGGACACTGCTAAAGCTATACTTACAGTAAACAGCATGATCCCGCAGAGCACGCTGAGATGCCTGGCTAGAGACATTTACAATGGCACCTGGCACACCTTGTGCAATCATCTGCCGAGCAACAATCTGGGAGGGAGGGAAGAAAAAAACCCAACAAAGGCATGCCAGAATCGTAACGGGAGAAATCATTATTTCATTCAGTAGAAATATCACTGGGCTATTAGGGTAGCCAAAAAAAAGAGCAAAAACATCTGGAGGAAGTCCTCACTGCCTCCCGCTTAAAAGAGCGTCGAAGCAAATGAGTGAAGGGACTGTACACACAAATTGTCAGGTTAACTTTAGGTTACAGTCCCTTTAGCCCCCACAGTGGACACTTATCACTGCTGTGTACAACAACTTAGTGACTGCTGTTCACGGAGACAATGGCAGTGACAATTCTTCCTCACCTGGGAAACATGAAACACAGCCTGAAGATTCACATCAAGAGACCTACAAATAAATCAAATTTAAAAGTCACAGAGTGGTTGCAGCCCACGCCAGAGAGGAGTTGTTCTGGGAGGCAGCCGAGGACAAGTGCTGCTGGTGTCTTGGAAACACTGGTGATGCTCTAGCACATGGGCAGAAATGCCAAGCTGTCTGGCTAACGAGAATGATTAGGTATGCTTTCAGCAATGAACTGTTCACTGGATGTCAGCTATTTAGTGTGCAGGGGAGGGAGGTGCACTCATACATTGTCACATTTCTGGCAGGACTCTCTTTACCAGTGTAATGTAGTTCCTCTATTAAGCAGTGAGCCCTGGGCCTCAGGCAGTGACTCTTAGGTCAATCAAACCCTTCACCTGGCTTTAAAAGAGCAAATCTGCTATAAGATGTGTAGAAGCAGCTTTTCTTCTGTTTGCCACATTGTCCTTCCTTGGTCAGGTTTTTACCTGCTAGTTCTGCAGAATGGTCTTAGTAGAATCTGTTTTAGAATGGATATTCTAGTCACAAATGAATCTGTTATTATAGACCTACAATAACCATTTTTAATGTAGGGACCAAGCATGACCCGTCATCTCAGAAGTAATTAGACACCATATCCTGTATCCTAAAGCCTATCCTCCAACTGAAACAATGGATCTTCTGAGAGAAAAAGATGTCATGGCACTGCAGTCAGCAAGTTTAGTTTCCCACCATGACAGTTTTATCCTCCCTTACCTGGCTTTGTCTTCTCTATATCTGAATTGTCTTACTGACAACTGCCTTTCAATTTATCAGAGACTGAGTCAGAGCTAGTCTGGAAGCTCTGAGCTTGAGTAACAACAAAAGGCACTCTTCTCTCCCATATAGGCTGGATGGCGTGAGCACACCACCATCTAAAAGATGAAATTGCAGGTTTCTGGCTACTCAGTGTGAAACAGCGTCAGTGCTTTGCTTGGTTTCCTTTTGATGTTTACAGGGTGAAAGGTGATTACCTTGTAAAGTGTGACAACACAGTAAAGAAAAGAAAGCAAACATAAGCAGTAACAATCAACAAACCACGGAGAAAGGGAATGTTAGGCATTTCTGAAAGTGTGTCTGTCTGGTGCCTATGCACCAGCTGCTTCCTTTTGTACCAGACACCGATTTCTGGGAGGCTTAGCTAGGCTTTTTGACGTTGGCAGTTTCGCTGCGGCTCAGCAGAGCTTCGCTGCACCGCGGGCCGCAGCAAGGCCGGGGCACTCACCGCTCCAGGGCCGCCCGCGTCACCTCCAGGAAGGGCTGCAGCACCGCCACGGCCGCGTTGTTCACCAGCAGCTCGAAGGGCCCCGCCGCGCCCACCGCCGCCTCGGTGGCGTCCCAGTCGGCCAAGTCCAGGCACAGCGGCTCGATGCCCGGGCACTGCGGCGAGGGCGGCCGCCGTGGGTCGGGGGCGCGGCGGGGGTTGTCCCGAGCGGGGGGGGAGCCGTCCCGAGGCAGGGGAAGGTGTTCCCGGAGGGGTCCCGGGGCGGGGGGGGGGGGGTATGTGTTGTCCCGAGGCCGGGGGTGGGATGTGTGTGTGTGTGTGTGTCCCGTGGCCGGGGGCTTCCGAGGCCGGGGGGTCCCGTGGCCGGGGAGGGTCCCGGGGGGCCCCGAGGCCGGGGGGTCCCGTGGCCGGGGGGTCCCGTGGCCGGAGGGGTCCCGGGGGGTCCCGAGGCCGGGGGGTCCCGTGGCCGGGGAGGGTCCCGGCGGCCGGCGGTACCTCTCGCGCGAGGCTCTCCAGGTCCGCCGCGGTGCGGCTCAGCGCCGTCACGCGGGCCCCGGCCTTGCTCAGCGCCACAGCCACGGCGCGCCCGATCCCTGCGGGGAGACGGAGTCAGCCCCGGCCCCCGCCCGGCCCCCGCTCGGCTCCCGCCCGGCCCCCGCCCGGCCCCCGCCCGGCCACCTTTGCCAGCCCCAGTCACCAGGGCCCGGCGTCCGCGGAAGCTGAGATGCGGTTCCATGTTTCGGGCGCACTGCGGCCTGGGCGGGCCCGCGGGGCCGGGCGGGGCCCCGGCGCGGGGCGGCCCGATCGGCCCCGCTGCCCCGGCCCCAGGCGCTGCCCAAGGCCCGGCCGCCTCGCACCCAAGGCACCTGCGGAGGGCAGGGCTCAGGCCCGCCCCGCTGCAGCCCCTGCTTCCCCCGAGCGGATGCAGCGAGAGGCCGCTTCTCGGCTCACCCAGCAAGAGGCAGGTACGCAGAGATTAATTTTCTTGGCTCTGATTTTCACTGAGGTATCCTAGTGAGAGACCTCAGAAAACCAGGCTTGTTACCAGACGATGAAAAGACCTGCTGTCTCTGCCCACTCAGAGTTGCTGATGCAGCCCTAGGCTAACACTTACTGCCTAGAAAAATCGGCTATGAGCTCTGCTTGCCTGAGGACCTAGAGCCTGTGACAACAGCAAAGTGCTGGAAGTTACAACAGAAAACAGGCTAAAGATAGTCAAGAGGTTCTAGATGAGCTACTGCACCACAGTTTACTTCCAACTCCTCATTTGCAGAGCTGGCATTGTGTAACAGCAGAGGAACACTGACAATTATGCACCCTACTAACAGCTCTTTTCATAATACTACCCAATTGAGATGTTGCTTTCTGAGGACTCTTAAGAACTCCTAGGGCATACTTATTAACTGCAGAAACAGAATAGGAAAGGGCTGAGACAAGTTTACAATTAACTTATTCCAAATCACTTTACTCTGTTAATCATCATCTGCAAGGTTTTTTTTTAACAATATTTGTTCTCTGCTCATCCCAGTCATCCAGCTCACATACTTTTTGGCCATTTGGCAGCCCAAGAGGCTGACAGGCTCTAGTTTTCTTGATTAGAGTTTATGGTCCATTTCTGCTGTAGAGAATGTGTCAAGAAACATGACAAAACACAGCCTTTGACATATTTAAATATTTATTTTGTAGAATCATTTTATGTATGAGACAGTAGTTTGAGTAAAAAGCTGCATCCCGATATATCCACATAGCCTACTGTATTGTCAACACAAGAAACCTTAAAAGAAGCTTGAACACATTGAACAGTTCTGTATTGCCACACAGGAAAGTGTGGTCCTTTTTCAGTTTAATAAACATCCTACCAGCTTAGAGTATGCTACCTCTTTGGCACACCTACTTTAGAGTGACCAGTGACTACAGTGTGAAACTTCTACTACTCAGTTTTGCTGCCATCCATATGGAGTGGTGTCATTTTTGAACTGCAGCTTGCCACATAATCACTACCCAGTCCATGCTATCTGTGATATCTTAGAAGAGGCTGTTATCAGTGGAAGAGGAAGAAAAGCTCCAACAGAAGAGTTTAGAATCAGTGTTTGAAGACAAAAATCTCATCAAGAGCTCATGAAGTTTCACAGCTTACTGCCACAGGAGGTTCAAAACAAGAACCTAACAAGTGTTAAAAAAAAAAAAATATTTATATAGATACCAGGAATCTCCAAAGCTTTTAATGGCAAACCATTAAATCACAGGATGCCTCAGTACTAGTGAGCAGAAGACCTAATAAAGAGGTAGAACGTACCACAACCTACTATTCCAGAAGTCCTTCTCTGTTTTCCGTAATGGGCTGTCAGTGTTACAGGTATACCGGTTACAGAACAGTCACTGTGCTAGCTGGACTTTGATCTAATTTCCTGCAGCATTCTTACTCTGATACCTCATGGTCACTTTAGTAGGCATGAAGGAAGGGATAAATTTAAGAATGAGCTGCATGGCTATAGCAAGCAGCAGTCAGATTGTTTGCTCCTCAGTGGGATTAACTAAAATCATGTGGAGAGGACAATGTACCCAGGTAAATGCTGGAAGGTTTGTGTTAAAAACAGAGTGCAGGGAACAGTGCATTTCATGAAGCTGGCACCTCTGCTAAGTTTCATACTTGAATACACTGTAGGCATCTGCCTACATTATACCACTTTTTCAAATGGCAGGAAGTTAAGTAACTAGCTGAAGTCCACAGTACAGCTCAGCACAGCTGTTTAGACATCTGAAACTTTTGTTAGGTCCACATTCTAGTTGTTAGTCACAGTTCCAGGTTATATAATGTCATTCTATTATTCTCCCCTTAATTCAGCCTCAGACTCTAGCACTAAACTAGCAAGTATTTTCTGAAGAGTTTATGAGATTAAACAGTGATTTTGCAAAGCCATTTTTAGGCTGTTCTTCATGTCAGGTAGGGATTGCACATGATCAAAGTTTGGTCTAATAGGAAAGTAAACATATGGAGCCCCATTTCTTCCACTTTCACTATCAAGCTTACTTTATTTAAAAAGCAACAGCAGGTGATACTGCTACAGCACTGAGCTGCCTTTGTGTGAGTGTGTGGCCTCCTTTTAGTGATGCATGAACTATTTATCGAAATGTTAAAGAGTAAAAAGAAACACTGACCTAGACCTTAAGGTAATCACAAGATTATCTGAAGTGGAGTAACCACAGTCATACAATTAAAGGTCCTCAAATGACACCATAAAAAACCTCCTCAGGGCATTACAGCTATCTAGCATTCCTCCTCCCTCACAGACAGCAAGAGGTACAGCACAACTTCAGAAACCGGGCATGTTTCATCAGCCAATGAACATGCTCTAGCTCATACAACCTTCTGTGGGCAAAGCAGGAGAAACAATTACCATCTAGTCTGGCAAATATTTCTTCAATCAAGGAAATAGTATTGGACCTGGCAGACCACCATCATAACCACCAACCACTGTAATTCAGCTGGTACGAGAACCAAGTCTGACAATCACCTCCATGGGAGGTACACAAGGACTACAGGGGAGAACATGCACAGTAAGCAACTCTTCCTGAGTAAGCTTACTTGTAAGGATGCAGGGTTTTCCCATGACAAAGGCCTTCAGCCCTGTTTACCCTAGCGATTCCAGGATTTCTGGTGTTTATGAACAGACCCTGTTCTGGCCCGCAGGGGGAGTTTTAATATGGCAGGCCACAGAAGCTCTTAAGTAATTCTGTTCCCAAGAAAGACAAGTGAAAACTTCCCCTCTCTTGTCACCATGGGGACTACAGTTTGCTATAGCACTCCAACATCAAGACAATGGCCTCTAATAAAAGCCCCTAACAGTAGTAAGAATGCTATTATTCCAACTACTGCATTTCCCTAGGATGTGTCCAAGGACAGATTCACATGACACCAGACAAAAGTGTAAAGTGACTTGTACATGTATGACTGTAGTCATTATACGAAGAGCCACTGGACAAAAGAACAAGGATTCTTCTTGGAATGTCCCAGGCTGCAGCTGAACAAACTACACCTTCTTGTTTTCTGTAAACAGAGTCTGTATGCCTCTCGTGTAGATACCTCTGGTTGTCTCCCAGAAGAAAAACAAAAAGTAAAAACAAAACAATCAAACAAAAACCAACCAACCAACAACAAAAAAAAAACCCCAAACCAACAAACAAACAAAATAACCAACACACCAAAAGTCCACCACAATTCCTGTCTTACGCAAACTAGGTAAGATACAGATGTCAATGACTGGTCAAGAATTATGACATCTTCTTAGCAGGGCACCAAATAGTGTCAGGATAAAGCAGACAATGGACAGATTTAAATCTATGAAAGGAAAAAAAAAATTAGATTGGAATTCTCCATTCAAGCAATGTACTAGCATTGAATGTGCAGCAGTCTAATAGAGTAGAAAGGCTGGGTCTACCAGCCTTTGGTACTGACATAGAACTGACATTAGAAAATAACCCTATTAGTGGGTTTGATCATCTTACAGTTGATAAATGTGAACAAAGCAGGGAGATCTTGTTCTGGAAGTCGACACTCACCGGGTTGGATCTTGCTGAAGGCCAAACACTCCTCCCACACTCACAACATTGTGTTTGTTCTCAGGGTCTCCGTAACTTAGGGTTACCTGTAAAAGCAAATAAATATGTAGAAATTGTAACACTAATGCAGAAAGAGTGGGGATAGCAGGATTAATGAAGTATGAAGGAGGACTCCAAGGATGCTGTCTAATCTGAACAGTGGACTAAATTTGAAAAAACAGTGGTTAGTTTTGACAAAAGCAATACTGGCACTGAATGGCAGCTATCAGATGGACTACTGCTCATCTAAAGGCAACGTGGGAGAACAAATAAAGGACCTGAAAGTTGCATTGCCCCGAAGGGCAAGATGAGTTATAACTGTCAGCTTTATAAGGGCATTAATCCTGCTAGTGTCTGTACCTTCACTAAATAACAGATGTTCATCCTCATCAGACTGCCTGAAGTCTTCAACAGTACTGTCTTAGCACAGAGGGAAAACAGAAACATTTGGGTGTTAAATGGCATGCATGCTGTTTAATGACTGCCATGTGACAAACCTGGGAACAAAATTTAGATCTCTGGAACTCCAGTTCAGTGCTATTCTTCCACACAAATACTGTATTAAGAAATTTTCAGGTGCCAAATACCAGAAGACTTATATTTTCTTTATAATTGGGGATTTCCTGGATTTTGGGTTAGCTGTTACACTCTCAGGGAAACAATGATCACCAACAAAAGGCCTACAGTTAAGTTCAGCCTACAGTTGGAGATTACATCACACTGGAATTTGGCCCCAAGTGTACATTTCTCCTGCCTAATACAATTGCCAGGAAAATATAACCAAGCAGTTTGTAGGGGTAAAACCACACTCTCGTTTTTCTCATGGTGCCAAACAGTAAGAGGCAGACAAAGCTTCTGGATAGCCCTACAGCTCCATCTACTGCCCATGAATAAAAAGATATCCCAGCAATTAAACTACATGTTTTTTTCCTACGAAACATCAATTAAGTTTCTTGAGATTCAGACAAGTTATTTTTAAAACTGATCAAACATTTAACTATGTCTTAGTTATCGACGAGGTACTTGCTATAGCTGTGACACTAGTCTTTTGGAACAGTCTGAATTAAGACTGAGACTTTGTTAGGCAAAGACAGAAATACTTTCTTAAGTGGCAGGCGAACTAAATATTGTCTCCTCCTACACTTGCTGCTACTGTTACTCATGGAAAGTCAGACTTTAGGAGGAGAGAGGGAACACCATATTTAGGCTTAATGTAGCAGAACGTGTCCCCAAAGGAGGGGACAGCTATATGACCTAAATTGGCTAAGGTGATAATATGCTTTTTACTTAAATGAAGGAATGGGACAGAATACAGGTGTGAGCGAGCCTGCAGAAATCCTTCTTTGCTGAAGAGTGCCAAGTCTATGGAGTGTATTCTTTCTGATCAGGTTGAGGTGTAATTATAAGAACAGGACATGAGGCTTAACCCTACCTGCTGCAGTACAGACTCGCCTTGTAGTCTCTGCAGATTTTCCAGATGGGAATGAAACAATGGGCTGTGCAGTAGCTTTACCTCCAGCAGCCCCTCAATGATGTAGCCAATAGTGCAGTCGTCAGGAAGACGCACTCTTTCTGCAGTACTGATGAAATTACCCAGGCTGTGAGAAAGAGCATAGGAGACAAGATGAAACATGCTTTAAAGCCTACCAAACACATATTCATCGAGCTCAGCTAGGACTAGTGCTTACCTGGCCCAGGGACTCATCTTCAGGGCAAGACCTCTGCTGATACAAAACCCTGCTCCACCTGTGGCAAACCAGAATTTCACGGTTGTCTTCTGAAGAGCAACAAGAAAAACACACAGTAGTTACTGATAATCAGCTTTTCCCATTTGGCTGGGCAGGCAAGGGAACTTGAGTTTCTGCTGGATATCACATACTGCACTGGAGTCAAAACAAATTAATCAGTATTTCTTTATGCTGCTGAAAGCCCAGCTAGCCGTTCTCTCAAACAAAACTGTATCCTGGAACTGACAGCAGGTGAACCATCAAGTTAACACAACTGAGATAGGACACATGAAGTGGGAAAATGTAGTCCCACTCCTACCCAATTCCATCCATCCCCTGGTCATTCTAGCCAAGGGTCACAGCCAACTCACTGTTCCTGAGGAAATCAAAGGTGGTCTGTTAGTCACTTGGCTCCGTGTCCAAGGAGACTATTTTGTTGTGCAGAGTCTTCCCTAACAAGCTGCTTTGTAACTGACTTTCTGGCCAGTGGACTGATTTATCTTTAGGCTTGTCAGTACAAGCCATCTAGTGAGGACTTGTCCTTTAGCACATGTATCTTGTGGCTGAGATTTTTTGCTTCCACTTTTTGGAAACCTAGTAACTCAGTACTGGAAATACCTTATTTACCCAGAGAGCCTTTGTCACCCATGCAAGGTTAGTCCAAGATGATGACAAAGTGATACTGCTCTCAAAAAAAACCAAACCAACCAACCCCAACTCCAACACCCTAACACAAGGAATACTGCCCTCAAAAACACTAAAGGAAAAGAAACAGTCAAGGTGGGGAGGCCTTACTCACCTCAGTGTGAGGGAGACCACCAACATTCATGAAGGAAGAGAAACAGACATCCACCCAGGAGACAAACTATTGTATATATGTGTATGAGGTTAGATGAAAGGTTCATTTAAACTAGCACGCTGTCTCTGAAAACGACCAGTGCCGGGTTCATTGCTTGCAGGTTAAATCATTGTTTTGATGGGGGAATTCTATGAACTCTCAAGGTTTTAAAAGCTTAGAAGGTCAGGATGTCTCTCAGATTAACTGCAAAGTTTGCTTACTGAACCATCACTTTGGACATGGTCAGCTGCTTCAATGGGATGGTCCAGACTTGGTCGTCCCACATAGACATCCTGGCTGTGCGAGAAGGCAGAAAGGAGACTCAGGAGAGTCCGAGGGTTCACATAGTTGTCATCATCCACATGGCAAAACCATCTTCAAACAAAACAAAATAAGAAAGTTACTGCATCATCCTTTCCACCTTTCAGATGATGGTTGTTTATAAACACTGCTTCATGCTGTGCTCCCTTCCCTATGCTCATCACCACATTTTAGCCAATACTGCATTTCTTACTGGAGCAGAGGAGGTTACTCGTTTCCTGTGAACACAGAACTAGAATAAGCAAAGTCAATCAGAACAACATGTTTCACCTACTTTTGCCCAGACTCCAGGAATTTATCATATTCCACAGACATCTTGCAGCAGAGAGCTTGCCGGGTATGGACAGCAGAACAGTTGGTATTGATCATATGATCCCCTAGAAAAATAAAGATCAGCCGTCTCAGGTTTGAGAAGCATGTGTAGTCCAAAAAAGACTACAAAAGAAGTGCACATTTGGCCCTGTATGTCTGAAGTGCATATGGCGCACACATGGAGAGTAAACTGCAGGACAAGCAGAGCTCATGGGTTATGCATATGGCATGCAAGCTGTAGAGCACATAAAAATGTGTGAGTGCAGGGTATATAAATAGTGCCAAGAGACTGTATGCAAAGGAAATACCTAATATAACTTTGAACCAGATAGGCTTAAGCTTACTAACAGGAATGAAGTGGGTGCAAAGATGAACCCAGTATTCAGAAAGTTCCAGGCATCTTGTCCAGGTGGTAAGTAGGAACAGCATATTCTCCTGTGAAAGGAGAAGTGTTCTCCAGTTTCTGCATCTTAAGTTCCCTAATTGCTTGTACAACACAAAATAAGGACTTCTTGGGAAAGCAGGACAGAAACAAACTCAGTTATTACAGACAACATGCATCTATGTTACACAGCTTACCTGCTTTCAGGCGTAGCTCCTGATCCTCCCAGTCCGTGAATATAAACGTCTGTAGGAGACAAAAATGGTGTGTCCACATTTGAGAATCTCAGAAACTAATTTCAACTTTGCTCAGTTGCAGTCAAAATTCTGACTGTTTTGTCTTGCTAGTTTATCTTCAGTAGCCATTGGGAGTGGGATGGGGAATGGTGGGGGAGACAACTCCAGCAACTTCAGCCCTTGCCTTGTTTGATAAGTTTTTCCATTGCAACCCAGGAGAATCTCATTTCAGTAAGGCATCCAAGATTTTACTCTCCTCATCTCAGGGTACAGGCAACCAAATTTCCAGATAGGAACGACTGCCCTTTTTTGTAGTACCTCCCTCTGCAAATTCACCTCCTCTCTCTGGTGAGGAAAGAATGAAAGTCAAGGTGGAAAGTGCCAAGTGATAACACTGTTTTGTCCCAACTGCTGGGCAAAATCGCGTTATTATGCTTGAATGGACTGAAATTCCCAAGCAAGTGAACAAATTCTATGTTCGTTTATGGAAAAACCCAAGCTGCTGAACTGCTTAGTCCAAAGTATCAGCTTAGATGCATCAACACTAGGGATCTTTCACTATCAGGCAGTATTTTGAACAGTCACGCAAAAGTCAGCAAACTCCTTCTGCCTGGACCGCCTCTCCCAGACTGAAAGTATGTAGCTTAATCAACAACAAACTCTTTTGGAGATGGGTTCAGGTGAACTAATCAGGTAAGACAACCTTCCTCAGTCTTACGTGCAAAGATATTTTTAGCTCACACAAGGAAAAACTGTCAGAAAGCGCAGCGGCTGCCCGGGCAAAAGAGAAGGCCAAGGCTGCCGTCCCCCGTCCCAGCCCACTGGCGAAGGCTCACCTGTCCCCACGCCTGCGAGATCCAGGTTTGGAGGAGCAGGTCCAGCCGACTCTTGTGGTACTTCCTCGTGGTCTTCACCGCGATGAAGATGTCCTTCAGCTCCAGGCTCTCCCTAGCCGAGCCCCCGGCAGGCCCAAACCGGCCCTTCCGCGCAGGCTGCGGGCTGCCAGCGAGGCCGCCGCCCCGCCCGGCCCCCGGCCCGCCGCCCGGCTCCCCGCGGGGTCCCGCCCGTGTGCCGGGCGCGCCGCTCCCCCCGGGTCCCGCCCGCGGCGGCGGGGGCCCGCTGGGTGCAGCGGCGGGCGGCGGGCGGCGGCGGGGCGCGGCGGGGGGCTGCCCCCGCGGCAGCAGCAGGAGGAGGAGGGCGGCAGCGCTGACGGACAGCAGGAAGCAGGCCTTGCGAAGCCCCAGGCAGGAGCCGCTCATGCTGCAGCCCCGCGGGCCCCCGCCACCCTGCGCGGCCGCCTCATGGCCCCGCGGGCGGGCGGCGGCTTCGGGCAGGCTGGCGCCGGGGGCCCGGCGGCCGCTGCCCCCGCCCCCGCCCCCGGCGCGGCAGCGGCCGGCCCCGGCCAGGCGGCCCCCACACCCCAGGCCGCGCTGACCCGCGGGGGAGGCCGCCCCTGGCGGCGTGGGGCCGGCGAGCGCGGCCAGACCCCGCGCGCGAGCGACCGGGACCCCGCGCGGTGCGCCGGAGGGAGCGGCGAGGCGGGCCGCGGCCCCTTTAAGGGCTTCACCTGTCGGGCGCGAGCTGGCGGCGCCGCGCCACCCGGAAGTGGAAGCCGGGCTGGAGGGAGAGGCGGGGAGGTCAGCCGGAAGTGGCGGCCGCGAGGGGAAGGATGCCGCTGCCCGTCCAGGTCTTTAACTTGCAGGTACGGGGCCGCCGCCTCCCGCCGCCCCCGGCAGTGCTGCTTCGCCGGGGGCCGCCGCGGCCGCGCTCGGCGTCCCTCCCGCGTGGTGCTCGGCAGCGCGGCCCGGCCCGGCCCGGCCCGGCCCGGCCCTGCTGCGGCCTCTGGGTGGCGCGGCGCGGCCTCCCCCTGCGGCTCCGCGCCCGCCGGGGACAGGGAGCCGCTCGGCCGGCCCCGAGCCCTCGCTCGCCCTTCCACTGGGTCCGTCTGTGTCGCTTCCGCCGCCGTTCGCGAGGAGCAGCGCCCAGCCGAGCGTCCTCCGGCAGCCGCGGCGCTCCCCGTCGCTGCAGCGGCCCCCTTGCCTGATCTGCGCGGTGTACGTGCCGTAGGTAGGGCTTGGGTAGCAGAGGAGGGTGTAACGAGGTGGCAGATGAAGAGGAACTGAGCGTCTGCAGTTAGGAGGGAAGCCTCGGGAGTCCACAGGGCGTCGGTGTACTAAGCCTGGACCTTTAGTAGCTGCACAGGAGATCCCTTTGCCAGTTAATTGTCTTCCTTTTAGCAGCCAGCAAGTTTTTTGTCAGGGCACAGGGGTGCGGAAAGCTGGGAGAGGATGGGGGATAGTTCAGAATCCAGCTCAGCTTCTTCATCAGTGACAGATCTGTACCGCACCCCCTCGAGCAGTCGGTCACACCTCTTTCGAGTACAGCAGGACACTTCAGCATGAGTGCCGGTTTATCAGATTGTGTGAGGCCTTATGAGGCACCTTCCAGCTGGGTGCCCTTCTGGGCTCAGGAAATATGGGGGAGCGAGCATTGTTTTTGTTGCTTTGTGAGTAGTTCTTAAGTAAACCTTGCATCTTCTTTTCAAAATAAAGAGTTAGCTTGAAAATGTCAGAGTTTACATCTCCTAGTGGGACTTCCAGCCCACTTGAGTTTTGCTTTGTCTGAGAGTTGAGAGTATGCAGCGTACAGCCTACCAGTGTAGCAGGGCACAAATCATTAATTTCCTCCAGCTGGAGATACTGTTAGTTTCTGTTGTGCTGATTTCGAAGGAGTCCGTATCAGGTTTTTAGTATGGTAGGCAAACACAGCCTGAAAAGAGCAACCCTGATGCTTAGTGTTTACGATACAAGAAAAGATGCAAGGTAGATAAAAGTGGAGACAGTAATGGTCTCAATATATGGTGACTTAAATGCTTCTATGCACAGTTTTCCTGAGTGGTGATCTGGACAATCAGACTCATCTTTGCACCCTCCCTCCCTTTCCTTCATGCAGAGAATAACAAACTAGGAAGCAAACTTCTATATGCTTTACTTGATTTTACTTCAGATTTTGGGAGATTTCACATCAGCGTTGAGATATGTGCATATTTGATATGTACCAGTCTGTGAAAGAATAAATGGGCTGTGAGTGAATACAGGATGCATCAATTTTTAGAGTTAGGAAATGTGGATCTGCTCTATTCCTTCTTACAAAAAACACCAACCCAGCCTCAAAAAAAACTCTGTCTCTGATTTCATAACAAACAGCAAAATCAATAAAAACTTGAAAATAATTGGATGTTGGTGGGGACAAGGTGGTTGGCATTTTTGTAATTTCTAAGGTCCACTAGTGCAATTTACCCCAAATCAGGTGTTGCTTATAGTAATATCTGCACATATTCAGCTTTTATAAGAAGATGTTCAGGTTGGTTTTTCTGAATTTAAGTTGGTAATAGCTAGAGGGGGGAACGTACAGCACGCTTTTGACTAGGAGGAGGAGAAGAATTTTGTGGTAGCATACCAGTTTTGTGTGTGGGAGTGCATAGTAAATTGGTCTTAAATGGGAACACACACAGGGATTGTATTCATGTGCTTGCACTGAGGTCATCGTAGTGGTATATTCCTCATGTGGTTCAAAACAGTGCAAGATATACTGGGAGAATAAAATTCTGTTGCTCATGCAAAAGAAAATCTACCTGAACTGTTATACTCTGATAACTATAGTAGGTTAGTTCACCTGATGGTAAATTTTGCTGAGCCTTAGTGCTGCTTGTTTTAGACAACGTGTCATGCTGAGTAGTGGTATTACTAGAGAAAAATCCTAAGCCTGTCCAAAGACCGAGGAGTTTTTTTTCATTTTTAAAACTTAATTTGTATTTAAGCAAGTCCTTAATGGATTGAATCGTGTGGTTGTTTCCTGCTCAAACATAATAAGCTGCTTTTGACCTCATTTTGCTATTCTAGGGTGCAGTAGAACCAATGCAGATTGACGTAGATCCACAAGAAGATCAGCAAAATGCACCTGATATCAACTATGTGGTGGAGAACCCCACTCTGGTATGTGCTGGTTGAGGGCTAGTAAGTTATGTTTCTTGGGCATCGTCTCTTTAAGGCTTTTGAAGAACTCCCTCATTTTACTCCTCGTCAAATTGTTATTTAGAGATTAAGAGATTATCTTCAAAGCAAGGTGGGATAAGAATAACAGTGACCTCTTCCGTACTGATCTCTACTGCACCTTCTGAGATGAAGGAGGAATTGCTGTTTTGTGACTTGCTGTGTGCTGCCTGTTTGCCACAGTTTCCATTCTGAAATAACTTAGTACATCACTTGATTATTTACAGAGACAGCATTCTTTTATTTGGAGGCTTGTTCTTTGAGGAGCAAGGCTCACGTGCTTTTGTTTGATCCTCCGGAGACTGGCTAAAACACACAAAGCTGTAGAATTATAAAAAGCTGTATTTGCTTATATCAGTTTCTTCAATTTTTAGTGAATGGTTTGAGATTTTGGCCAATTTTTATGTATCAGCTCTGTAACAGTGAGAGATGGGTGTTGCAGAAGACAACAAAAATGTTAATTGGAAAAAGCTAAAGCAACATTAATATTGCAAAATAAAGCATGGGGTTTTTATTGCTTTTTTTTTTTTGGGTATACGACCTGATGCTTTGTTTTATTTAATTGCATTCCAATTCTTTTCTGAAGCTAGAGTGATGAAGCAATTATGTTGTGACCTTTATGTCTGTTATTACTATAGCATCTAAGCGTTCCACAAAAATTAGTGATTTTATTTTCACCATAACTGAGGGATCACAATTCCCCTTTGTCATTGAAAGAACTGAGGAGTATAGTGAAGTCACTCAGTGATTTCAGGAGTTTTTGGGATTTCAGTAAGGCTTTCCTTGCACTGAATCAGGCAAGAATCATTAGAAAATGCTACTGTGACATCTACAGTGGTATCTTAATTTAGACATACAGAGGTGTGGGAGTCAGGCATAATACAGGATGCATTTTAAATGTGGACAGGCAACCTGAATCTAGTGTTTCCTACTGCCTGAATCCTTGACTTTTCCCTGAACATTCTGCTGTGGTTGTTTGCATGTGTACTTCTATCTTCAAGAAATCTCCCTGCAATGACATATCGTATCTTTACTACATGTTTTTTTGCTTCGATTCCTCCCCCCTTCCTCCACCTTGAAATCTGTTAAGCGTTCAGAATTTAAACCTCAGATCCTTGATCCTTCCTCAAGAGTAAGACTCCTATTTGTTCTCAGAGGAAATGTTTTAGGAAATTAGCAAAAGAATGCAAATGGTCATATGGAAACTATTTTTCAAGGAAAAACTACATCTGAAATGGCGGTCTGGTTTAGGAAGCTTCAGCTCAAATGATGGAGTCTTGACAAAATTATTAACAGGTGATACAGTCAATTCTTAAAGTGGGTGAGCTGATTAGCCTTAATGGGTAGCTTCACAACTGACATACAGAAAGGCAAATTGTAATGTAGTGCGTATTTCTGAGCAAATTACTAACATTTGAAGAAAGTGGAAGTGGAATAATCTCAGATGGTCTTTTATTTGTCTGGGTCAAGTTGCCTTCCATGAAGTGATTGGGACTGCAGGAAAACCTGTGCAGGTCACGGTGTACTAGCTTGATTTAGTGTTGCTGTCTTTGCCTTCTAAGACCAGGTTTTGTTTGCAGGATTTGGAGCAGTATGCATCCAGCTACAGTGGTCTGATGCGAATTGAGCGGCTTCAGTTTATTGCTGATCACTGCCCACAGCTGCGGGTGGAAGCTCTCAAGATGGCACTGTCATTTGTCCAGAGAACTTTCAATGTTGATGTGTATGAAGAAATCCACAGAAAGTTGTCTGAGGCCACCAGGTACTAAGAGATCATGGGAACCTGGGGAGCTTGGACTGTTTTAAGACTGATGTGCCACAATGGGGGACTCTGCATGTGATACTAGCATGTTCCTTATGCAAATTGTCTTTGCCCTTAGAATCTGATAGCAGTGAAATGTGTGTGTTCAGGCCTAAGGTCTCATGCTTTTTTAAAAGATTAAACACAGAAGACATTATCTTGTTCTGAAGCTTTAGTGTAGTAGTAGTGTAGTAGTCTTAGTGGACTCGTAAACATGTACACCCTGTGTCCCACATAGAGATGTTTGTTTGAATTCAGTGACTCTTTAGCATCATTAAATACTTCCATAGAATGTGATAATTTATTGCAGCGTTGTTACTAACTTGCTTTCCATTGATTTATAGAGCAGGCTCTTTCTTTAAAATTATCAATGACTTGTTAATAAAATACCTGCAAAAGAGCATTAGGATAATTCTGAGAAGAATTTGTAAACATCTGTGATGTTGATGTTCCTGTTTTCCCTGGAAACCTTAGTAGTCTTTTTCTTTTTTCCCCACCATCCTTGTTTTTCCTTTGTTCTATTTTGTGTATGCAGTACTGTATGTTAGTGTAACAGTGCCATGTACTTTGCAGACCTCTGTTTTGAAAAGTTTGCAGCATAACAGCCCCATTCAAACTCTTTCCTTTCAGAGAACTGCAGAATACACCCGATGCTGTCCCTGATAGTGGAATCGAACCCCCTCCTCTTGACACAGCTTGGGTTGAAGCTACACGCAAAAAAGCTCTTCTTAAACTGGAGAAACTCGACACAGATCTGAAAAATTACAAAGGGAACTCTATCAAGGAGAGTATCAGGTGAGATGCAGAAGGCTCTGCTGGAGCAAGGAAGAGCATTTTGCTCCTCCAGGCACCTAACATGGGATGTCAGCTGCATTCAGTGCCTTAGGTCAGTGTGTCGAGTTACTAGTTTGAAATGAACTGACTGTGTCCCTTTCTGAGCACACAGTTCATTGGTATTTTAATTCCTGTGCTCCAGGAGAGGCCATGATGACTTAGGTGATCATTACCTTGACTGTGGGGACCTCAGCAACGCTCTCAAGTGTTACTCACGAGCCCGTGATTACTGCACCAGTGCTAAACATGTTATCAACATGTGTCTCAATGTCATCAAGGTAGGAGGGCTTGCAGAAAGTAGTACTTGGTGTGTTTCTAGTATCTGCTGTAAAGTTCACCTGTACTTTGCTCTGGTTACATCTCTTGTGTCTGCAGTGATACTGCTTATCTAAGTAACACCATTTATCCATGCCTGTTCTACACTGTTTCTGGCTCTCTACAGGTCAGTGTCTACCTCCAGAATTGGTCTCATGTTTTGAGCTATGTAAGCAAGGCTGAGTCTACACCAGAAATTGCAGAAGTAAGGTCCTGCTTTTTAACTTGCATGGGTTTTCCCTTTGTTTTCTGTCTCCCAAATTTGTAAACCGACTTCTTCCTTTCCCCATTTATGACTTGCTCCCTGTAAGCCTCCCGTCTTCCTCTAATTCAGCCTCCTTGGCTGCTGTACTATTTCTTTTGAGATTCATTGTTGCTTTTCTCACATGATATGTGTGTATGAAATTGTACTCATGGTGAGAACAGAGAGACTTCCCACCCTCAATTCTTGCTGTATTTCCCAAGACAAATAAGATGAAGTTATCTTGCTGTTGAGATGTGCAAGTTAATTATTAGGATGAAATGTCCCAAGGGCAGTTATCAACAAAATGGTTTTCAAACTGCTTGCTCACTACTGCTTTTTCTTATCCTGTAGCAAAGAGGAGAAAGAGACAGCCAGACACAAGCAATTCTCACCAAACTGAAATGTGCAGCAGGTGGGTGAATCCTTCAGTTTCCTGTATCGTCTGCCTGTCTTTCTGCCTGTTAGCTGTCTGTAGGGCTCCTAGACAGCAGTGTGTGCTTGGTTTATTTTTCTCTCTCAGATTTGACAGACTTAGTATTTTCTCACCAGAAATGCAAAATTTGATAAAGCTGATGAGAGGGAACTGCTGATTTGGTTTTGCCACTTCTTTCTTCTCCCTAAGTTTCTTCAGAGAGGATGCCAGTGTGAGTCAATGTAGTTCAAAAGATGCTAGATGCTGTCTGAGACTGTTGTTTCACTTCAGTAGTGAAGGCACTAGCAACCGTTTGGGGGCCTGTCCTACTCCCCAGATTTTGAAATTTCTCCTAATCTGTATACATACTATCATAAACAAAGCACTAACTTTTTCCTGGTTCCTAGGCTTGGCTGAACTAGCTGCTCGGAAGTACAAGCAGGCAGCAAAGTGCTTCTTATTGGCATCATTTGATCACTGTGATTTCCCTGAGGTGAGGACCAAGAGGGAGCTGCGTGCAGGTCTTAGAGGGGATGTAATTCTTTCAAGTATTAGGTTTTAAAATTCAGATATTATAATTATTCTCACAGCACTCCTGTATAGTTTGGTGATGCTGTGAACCTTGTGTGTGTTGGTTGGTTGGTTTGTTTTTTTTAAAAAGTCTCTGTTCTTGAGTCCTATAAATGATCTACTCTAGATCACATAGGAATTACCTGTGAGATTTGTGTATCTGTGTAGCTCAATCAAAAGACTGGCTGTTGGAATTGGTTTCTGCTCTCTTAGCAGTGAGCAATCACTCCTCAGGCTCTGGGTGAACGCCTGAGAGCATGCCAAGTGGCTCCACTGCATTTGACAAGGACTAATCTTGTCACTGCGTGAAGGAAAGGCCTGGGGTAGAATACTTAATTCCAACCTTCTGCCATTTTTATTCCAGCCCAAACCAGGACAAGTAGTCAGTGACAGTTCTCTCTCTCTCTCCCCCTCTCTCTCTCTAGTTGTTATCTCCTAGCAATGTGGCTGTGTATGGTGGTCTCTGTGCCCTTGCTACCTTTGACCGTCAGGAACTACAACGAAATGTTATCTCCAGCAGGTAAGTGATGCCTCGAGAGGAGTTTGTGTGTGCTGGACATCTTTTGGGGCTTGGGACTTTGTTTGAGAATGGATTCTGGCACTCATAGTAATAGCTTTCTCATACAGAAGAGAACGAATCACTGAGCCTTAGTTTGTCTTTAGCATTAAGTGACGTTTCACTGTCTAAAACACAGTGGTTAATCACAGCTGAAATTTTAGTAGTATAATGGAAATTTCCAACCTGGGTCTAATCCAACATGTACATAGCCCAATTTTCTATCTCTATCAGTGGTCCATACCAGACATTAAATCAGAGGGGTAGAGCCCTACAGAAAGCAGCTGTGAGATAACTTGCCTTCATGTTATCACTTGTTCTGGTGTATGTTAATCATATTAATACAATTTAATAATTGTTAATACAACTTGCAGCGTACTCCATGACGCATACAAGGTTAAGAGAATTACAGCCATTGGAAGAAAATGAACATTTGTTTGTCATAGATAGAACTACAGTGATACTGAATTCCTGTCAGCTGAGTGTACAGAAGCACTAATTTTAAATTGATGTGGAAAAAGGGTTGTTACCCTGACTTTTTTTATTGGCCAATTCATAGGCTGAGATCCCAAGGTTTGGAAATCTGTGATGGAGAATTGGGAGAGCGCTGAGAAAGAATGTGCATCCTGGAGATCTCCCACACTCACAGTAGCTTATTTTCTGGAGACAGTTGCATGCTTAGCCCGGCATGCTGTACTTTGTGTTCCCTTTCAAAGCACATCCTTCACTAAGCTGGCCAGCACAGACTAGAGTGCATGCACAGATGTGGCCTCTGTTTTCTAGTGGTGTATCCTGATTTTGACCTATTCCCAATTTTTTTTTTTTTTTTTTTCTCCTTTCTGTGAACTATTTGGTCTGTCAAAAGTCTCTTGCCTTCTTTCATCACAGCTCTGATGCTGTCCTGCATCCCTCTTGTGTTCCAGGCTCCCAGCCCTGATGAAAAATGGGCTGTCTGGTCTGTTAGAAAATAAATTCTTGTAATCTTCAGATGGTAGTGAGAGTTTGTAACCTTGCAACTCAGAGTGATGGGGTTGTGGCGTATTTAACTGATGGGTGTCAATGTCTGATCACTGCCATCTTTATCTGTAGCTCTTTCAAACTGTTTCTGGAGCTGGAGCCACAGGTTCGTGACATCATTTTCAAGTTTTATGAATCTAAATATGCTTCATGCCTGAAGATGCTGGATGAGATGAAGGTGAGTTGCAGGGGAGCAGTGCAGAACAGACCCTTAAAGTTCCCTTCGCCTAGTCTTTTGTGAGAAGCAGCAGCTGTTAAAAGTAGCTACTAAGAGTGTTCAGCTCTTCTGCATCTTCTGTCTCCTGATGTGGTGAGTGGAAATTGGGAGTAGTTTAGCAGCAGAGGGTGAGGAGAAATTGTAAATTTTTAAAATATATTGCTAGTTCTTTTATGCATTCTTGCCTTATAGTGTTGTACTGCTGTAGTGTAATATCCTTAAGGTTTAAGTATATACACATATATGTTTCAAAACATAGGAATGATATATTTTTCCAGGCTGCTTCTCAGCTTCCGATGTGTGTTTGTTTGTTTTGTTTTTTTTTGCACAGGACAACCTGCTGCTGGATATGTACCTTGCACCTCATGTCAGGACACTTTATACTCAAATTCGAAATCGTGCCCTTATCCAGGTAATTGTTCCTGTAATCCTGAGAGGTGGATGAACAGAGAGATAGGCCATCTCTTTGTAATTGCTTTTCCCATGATTTTTCAGGGGGTGAGGGAGTACACTTGGCAACTGAGTATTTTCTTCTTCTTAGTATTTCAGCCCCTATGTGTCGGCAGATATGCGCAAGATGGCCACTGCTTTTAATACCACAGTGGCTGCTCTGGAAGATGAACTTACTCAGCTGATCCTGGAGGGACTGATCAATGCCAGAATAGACTCTCACAGTAAGGTGAGTGCATCCAAGCAGCAGATTATAGACTGAACAGCTGTACTAAGATTAGAAACTCTCCATTCCTGGGACACTTTGAAGTTGCATTCTTCTGTTGTGACTGGTATTTTCAATAGGGCTGATCTGTGTGTAAACTCAGACTCCAGGATACCTTAGCTTTGTTCCCTTGCACAGAAAGGGCTTCCTGCTGTGCAACCTTGTCATAGCTCCTATGTACAGTTCTCTGTATTGGTTACAGATTCTTTATGCTCGAGATGTAGATCAGCGCAGCACAACTTTTGAGAAGTCTTTACTAATGGGCAAAGAGTTTCAGCGACGTGCCAAAGCTATGATCCTGCGAGCTGCAGTCCTGCGCAACCAGATACATGTTAAGGTGAGAGAATGTTAAATGTGGACTTTGAGGCAGTGATAAGATTTTTGTCTTTTTTTTTTTTTTAACTGAAACTATAAAAATTGGTGCATGGAAGATTCTGGAGGGGAATGGATTTATTGTGCTTATGATCGGACAAATTCTTACAGTAGTAAATACTAAATATGTAAGAAACAAGTGTTTCTAGCCAATACATTGACTTGCTTGTACAACACAATGCCCTTTGAAGTTTATATGCTTGGATTGATTATAACTAATTCATTCCAACTAATTCTTCGTAAACATATCTTTTCTCTTATCAAATCAAACACTGAAGTATTTTTTTTTTTAGTAGAGGAAGTGAAAAATGCATTGGTTTCTTGGAGTATTCCTTCCAGGATGCAGTTCCAAAAGAGTGCCCTTGGGGAGGTTAGGCCATCTGCCACAGAAAGTGTTAAATTCTAGAGTATATTAATCTCTCTGACAACTAAATGCCAGATAGGATTCAGCTTCTGGGGGCCAACAGCACATTGTGCATAGTAAATAAGCATGTCTTGAAAGTTCTGGTTTGCCTTTTTTTAGGAACAGTTCTCATGAACTGTAACTACAGAAGTTGTAAGCACAAAGCTTTTACAAAGCCATCATTATTTTTGAGTTGGGGGTATGCTCTCCTCCTGTTGTTATCCTGCTGTGCTTCACCCGTGTTTCATTTGGTCTCTCAGGAAGCACTCTGCAGGATATTTACACATCACTAACTAGGATGTGTTTTGGTCTTGTTGCAGTCTCCTCCGAGAGAAGGTAGCCAAGGGGAGCTTACTCCAGCTAACAGCCAGTCCAGGATGAGCACCAACATGTGAAAAACTTCGTGCACTACCAAAAGAAATGGTCCCTCCGGGACTGTACCCACTAACTGCTGAGCTTCACAAACTGCCCCTGTCTCCCTCACTTCTTGTTTGAACGGAGAGGGTCAGGGCTGATGGTGGATAATATGAATATTCTGATAACTTCAATTCTCCTTGAAAAGAAATAATTTCTAAAAACAGCATCCCTGCAATGGGTCATCATTTCAGTTTTGGTAGAACATCTTCCTTCATTCTTCCACCACTCCATAAAGAGCTGTCAGGTTATTCATATGGATGCTGATTTCAGAGTTTTTCAGCTGCTATTAGTTTTCTTGTTTCAAAGCTGCAAGAATAGTTAGTGTTAAGTCGAATGGGTAGGTGTGATCTAAGATGAATTTTGCTGGCCTGAAAGTATCGCCTTGCTTCTAAGCAATGCTGAGCTTTCTGTTTGTTGCAGATAAACTTAACAGGTGCATTGCTTTTAATTATGACGCTAGAATTCTGATGGGAGAGGAGATGTCCTTTGAGAAACTCTGAATGATTTTTCACCTACACCAGAAAACATGGCACTGCTTCCATACATTGAGTCACAGGCCTTTGTTTTAGGGTGTTATGTTTACCCAGATTCGGATTCTTTCTCTCTGGTCTGTGTTTCCAAAGACCTGTTTCCTGATGCGTTTCCCACTTGTGCGTGACCTGGCTTTGGGGTCCGATGTTACCATAGCAGTAAATCTCTACTTCATCCAAATACTGCTGCTTGTCCAGTCTTACTGCCATAGTGTGTAATGGTTTTCCAACATGTGCAACAGTTGCTTCTGGTAGCATGGATAAATGCTATGAAATACCACTCAAGTCCTGTGGAAGAGCTGAAAGCAGCCAATCTAGGTGCCCGCTCTGCAGGTGCATTTATTCTGCTTTTCCTTTTATAAAGGGATTAAAGGTGGCAGCCCAGGTGTCTGCGTGTTCTGTGTTAATGAAAGGAGATATGCACTGAATTTTCTGAAGTCACTGCAGCCTTGCATTCATTTAATCCATAAGGCAAGCTAAGAATTTTGATCCAGCTCTGACTGGTCTGGCAACTGACTACAGATGTTACTGTTAATGTGTTAATGCCTTTTTTTTTTTTTTTTTAAATAAGTTGTTATGTAGTGCATTAAACAGCAGGATTAAAAAGCTTCTGAGTATTTGGAGTTTTGTGTCAAAGTTGGGTTTTAGGTATCTTGATCTCAAGCCATTGATTTTTTGCTAAGCTTGATGGTGTGTTGTAGGCCATTGTAATTTGATTTCTGATCTGGTTAGAGATGTAGTTTGGATGAACTGTGAAGAAAGTTCAATTTGAGGGAACGTTCTAACAGAAAAATTTTTGGACTGCATTTGCATGGCTGCTAAACTGCAACAGTGCTCTTTCCCTCTGGCTTTCCATGCTTTTTATGACTTAGGTGCTCAAAATGGAAGCAATAGTTCCTGTGAGGTCTTTTGTTAAATGTCTTCCGTTTGGCATGGAAAAATTCTCCCATTTTTTGAGGGGGAAAAGGAGAGAGCTAGTTAATCAAGAACTTGGGAGTCGGGCATCACTGATGGCCAGTTTAGTGAGAAAGGCAAGTCGAGTCTTCAGGTAAATTGCTGTACATCCTTGTAGAAATGATGGGAAAGTTATTTTAATATCTTTTGCTCATGCTGAAGGAAAACCATTCAGTCCTATAATACTATTTAAATGTTTTTGCTTTCTTCCTAAGATGGGCCACTGATACAATTTCTAAGGAAAAGATCTTGAAAAGATGATTTTGCAACCCAATTGAATGTGTCATGTCAGCTGGCTATCTTTGCTTACGCACAGCTTCCACTGTCTTGATTTTATTAGATCTGTTCCTTCCTGGAGGCTTTCTGCTAGAGGTATCCTCAATTTTAAGTGCACGTCTTCAGCACACTGACTTGAGAGTCTCTGCTCATCCAGACACTACGCTTGCCTGCTCTCAGGAAGTGACTGGAAGCGCGTATCCTTCAGCAGTCAGCAGGGAGCCCACGAGGTGGCAACAGCCGTTTCCAGCTCTTGCTCTGGCCCGAGGCAGTACCATAGCTGGGGCAGAGGTGATCAGTTTCTTCAGACAAAAGTGCTTACAACCTCTTCTGGACAGATAGAGCATTTCTCTGTTATTGCTTAGTTCACGGGCACTGTTCAAGCATAGTGTATGCTTTTGTATAGAATTACTGGCATGTAACTCCTTCCTTTAGCCTGTAAAGGAAGCTGCTGTTGCTTTAGGATCTTGTAGATGTGAGCCAGGGCTGTCCAGGCATATTTCTTCTAGACATTGTTTAATGCCTGGTTCAGTCCTAACTACCCACCAATCCAAAAATCAGGAAATACAACACAGCACGGATATAGTTCTGTATGACTTGTGTTTATAAGCAATTTCCTGCAATGAAAGATTATTGTTGCCTTTAATTTCAAAGTAATTTTCCAAGTAATAAATGGGAAAATAGTGACTCACATAGAATGAATTTCCAGTGATTCCCTGTGACCACCAAGGTCAGTGGATGTTTTATAGGATCTGTAGCATGTTGGTATGCTCAGAGGAACTTATTTAAGTGGATTTCATGAACTTGTGCAGCACCTTTTTGTTGATGAGGAAGGAGATACCAGTGTTAAGCCATAATTTATGGTGTCTTCATGCAGTGTAAATCTTGCTTTCTTTATCTGACTTAGCTTGGAATAAAGGAAAATCAGTTGGAAAGAACCTGGTTCTTTTGGCAAAGGCAGTTTTAATTAGTGCAACTAATTTTAGTGGTAATGTAGAAATTGCCATTATGAGATTTGTGTTGAAGTAGTTGGAGATGACTGGTAATTGTCTGGCCAGAACTTGTCCAGCATAGTGGTCTGTGTTGCTAAGATTTGTAGAGGGAGGTCTCTAAGAGGGGGAGATTATATTACCGTTTGCACTGTGGCTGGGTGCAGCATCATCTCAGATTTCAGTGGATGAGGGAAAAAATAACAGAGTTCTGGCTTTGCCCCATGCCATGCATGTATGATCTGTGCACTGGTTTCTTGGACTTTGTCATAATGGTTTCAGTGTTACTTCCTAGCTTAGGTGAAATTTCAGCATTGTTCCATCCTCTGGACCGCTCCCAAAACGGCCGATGAATAATGTATTGTTTCTGAAAGATGCAATGTAATATAAACTTCCAGAAAAACAAATGAGGAAACCCTAATAGTAGTAAAAGTGCTTCTGACAGAGACCCATCACGCATGGGTAGAAAGTCTTGGTCAAGTATTTATTTTATTTTATTTTTAAGAGTAAAGTCTCAGCCATCTTAATTTGACTAATCAAGGTTCTTATGCCATTTCCTTCATTACTTTTTACATGAAGCAGATGACAATGAAGGGAGTACTGTGCTCCACAGGACAGTGCTCTTAGTATTTTCTTGTGCCACCCCCTTGTGAAAGCTGAAACTAATACAAGTCAGCATTTCATATTTTCAGTAGTCTACCAACTGTGAACTTGCAGTAGGGTGAAAAACACCAAACTAATATGGATCTGACTTCCTCTTATCTCTCTGATGCTGTTAGGAAATTGAGGATGCTTCGCAAATGAGCTTTGTACTTCAACTGATACTATTTTGGCTTCTGTGCTCCTATAGATCTCAAAATTCCATTCAAGGTTTCATATGCTCTGATAGAAGAATCTAGCTTTAGATTATGTCATAGGATAACTTCATCAGGTTAAATTAATTAGATAGGGAACAGAAACTGGCTAATAGAGTATGTCAATCTCTAAGAGAAATGTATGAGATTCAGTAGTTAGAAGTTTGATAAATTCATACTGCAAGTAAGACAGTTTCTTGACAGCAAAAAAATAATTCAAGCTTAGGCTTCAGTAGACTTACTAAAACTTATTGAAAGCTACAGACTGAGGGGTAGCTGCGTTAGCAAGAGATGGTCTAATTCAAACCAGAATTCAAGTGACAAGACCTGAAAATCTCTCTTACATGGTAGTAGATCAGGCTAGGTAATCTTGTTGTCCTTGATTTCACAGATAGCACTGTTTCAGTTCTCTAATACTCCTGCAGCTATAGCTTTGACTATTATACTCCGTGTGCCTGTAGTTTATGTGACTGTGAAGTCTGTGTACATAGAGTTTGTACCCTGTAAATACATGCTGAGATCCAGGGTTTTCAATATTTGTTTTGATGTAATTATTTTTTTTTTTTTCCCCCCTAATTCTTTGATATCTCATCTCATAAGCTGTTTGCCAAATAAAGGCAGTTGGCTTTCTTTTTGTCAGGTGAACTACGACTACTTTTTGGTGTGTTACTCTAAAAATGGATTGAGATATAGGAACCCAATCTTCCTCAAACCCAAAGACTGGGAATCATTTTCACTATCACTCTACATGCAGAGCACTGCCTTTTCCTCCCCCTACTCCCATTAAAATTAAGCAGTGTATATCTTCTTGAGGGCCTATGAAACAGAAACAAAATAGGTAGGACATTACCTTGCTGAGTTGGCAGGCTGCAATTTTTTGATTAGAGATAAACAGGATAATTAGTATATTGCCTAGCCTGAAAGTAATCCCTAGTTAATGTAGGTGCAGGTGTGCCCAGCATGAATGGTAAATGGCTTGGCTTTACTCATGTTGTAATAGTGCCTCCTAATTCGCAAGCATTGTTTATTAAGAAATTGATACACTGGTCATCTTTACCTTATTAATTTCAAGGTTATAATCTTCTAGAATGTCTGTTAAAAGTTCAGGTTGCAACTTTTTTTTTTTTTTCCATTGACGTGATGATTTGTAGCTAGATGCACAAAGGGAGTTTTGTGTTGCAGTGCCTAACTGAACAGCATTCCAGTCCTCTGTTAGGAGCACTGCAGTCTTCTGTCACATCGTGGGGCAGGAGCTAACAAGATAAGCGTGCATCTCTCTGCAGTGCCAATTAAGAAAAGCGTTGGAACAGGGGGTGAGGACAAATACACCTTAAATACTAATTCTGTTTAGAAATGTGTTCAGTTGGGATTCTCAAGTATAAGGCTCTTCCTGAATTTAGGAGCCTAAAGCCACCTTGAGCCTTCCTTCATATTGGTAAGTGATTCTGTGATGACACTGTTAAAATCCCACTGTGTGGTTAAGAATATAACCCAAATCTCTCACATAGCACCAGCTTGCTACTGTGTTGTAACAGTGAATGTTTTTCATGCAAATGCCTTTTCTGACTTAAAATTTTCTCTGGCACAGTAAGCAGAATGACTGAGCTTTCTGATGTTTTTGGGAAACTAAACGGGAAGGGATCAGGTAAGCAATATGGAATTCCATGATAATGAACATTTAGCTTTTTATTAGAAGAGAGACTTTTCAAACAGACCAGGGAATTCAGAATACTTGACAGCTTTAAAGTATATAAAGCCTGTGTGAGGGAAGAAATGGACTATTTCCACGAGAGGTGGGAGATGTGGTTTCAAGCTCCCATGTTTAAATAAGGCAGAGAAGCATTTTTAAACTTGGCTGTCCCACACTAATCACTGGGCTGTTTGGTAAATGCCACACCCTTTCCCTCCCCCTTGGTTTCTGTGCTAGTTCCAATTCACAGGGCAAGCTAGAATAACACCTACCCATTCAGTGCTTGTCACAAATTATGAAAGCTGCTGAAAGTCTTGGTTAACAAGCTGATTAAGGTTGGAAGATGCTATTCCCAGAACACCATGGAAAATATTTTGTTCAAGTAATGAGCAAATGAAATGGGAAGACTCAATAGGAATTTGAACTACTTTTATTATTATAATATGTAGAAAGCCACAACTAAAGGTTAAGCTGCATGTAAGTCCAACTGCCAAATGGATATGAAGTTCTTACCTCTTGTGGTCCCTCTAGAGGATTTAGTGTGAATGAATGGGAACAAATAGATAAAAGCTACCTAGATGTAGACAAATGTCCAAAAAGATTAAGATGTACACAATCACGTGATAGGGAAGGTGCCTGAAGAAACAGCACGGAAAATTTGAACACGGCGTAGAAGTGAGCAAGCACAAGGGTGACTGACGTAAGGGGAGGCCAAGGCCTCTGCTTCACATACGGTGCTCTGCTTAGTGATCTGTTAATCTTGCTTGTGGGCTTGCTTGTTATTAATGCTTTGAATGAGAATGTTTCTCCATGGATTGAGTAAATCTACAGCTACT